TCGGGGAAGTTTGAGGATATTCGGGGAAGTTTGAGGAAGTTCGGAGAAGTTTGAGGAAGTTCGAGGAAGTGCAAGTCGTGCAAAAAACTTCATACGCGGGAGGCAAATATGGATACCTTTCCTCCTCGCTTTCCTCCCTTGTTATAAATAGCTATAATCAATGCATGAAGAACCCGGAAGGATTGTTTCATGTATCATTTTTTAACATCAAAATTTGTGTATACATTAATAATGATACCCTCCAACAGGCATACTGGGATTACTGGGTGAAATCACATCCGAAAATCTTTCATCACCTGCCGCTGCCGGTCTGTTTAACCTACGTGAAGTGGGCTGCCAAAGCTGGCTGCCAGAATTTCCGAACTTTCCCGATCGACCAGTGGCACACGTTTCCCCCCTTTTAGGGTAGGGAATATCGAAATCCCTCAACTGCTTTTGTTTGCGATGATGCGATGTATAATAAAGCACTGCACAACTGCTTCTGGGTCTCGATCAATTGAGTCTATAGAATAATCATTCTTTACCAAATCATAGGCATGAAAGACTAACATTTAAAAAATATTCTATTTTCGATACTTTGTCAAAAAACTTCCCAGCTGCTTTCGGGTCAGGAAGATAGGTAATCATGTGTAGAATCATGCTATCTAAAAATAATTCCTTGCGAAATCGAATCGCAAATATTTTTTTTCGATACTTTTGCAAAAAACTGCACAGCTGCTTTCGGGTCAGGAAGATAGGTAATCATGTGTAGAATCATGCTATCAAAAAATAATTCCTTGCGAAATCGTATGGTAGACTCCACACGAAAAAAACAGATTTTTCGAAACAATTTTTTTTCGATACTTTTGCAAAAAACTGCTCAGCTGCTTTTGGGTCAGGAAGATAGGTAATCATGTGTAGAATCATGCTATCAAAAAATAATTCCTTGCGAAATCGTATGGTAGACTCCACACGAAAAAAACAGATTTTTCGAAAATATTTTTTTTCGATACTTTTGCAAAAAACTGCACGGGTGCTTTCGGGTCAGGAAGATAGGTAATCATGTGTAGAATCATGCTATCAAAAAATAATTCCTTGCGAAATCGTATGGTAGACTCCACACGAAAAAAACAGATTTTTCGAAAATATTTTTTTTCGATACTTTTGCAAAAAACTGCTCAGCTGCTTTTGGGTCAGGAAGATAGGTAATCATGTGTAGAATCATGCTATCAAAATATAATTCCTTGCGAAATCGTATGGTAGACTCCACACGAAAAAAACAGATTTTTCGAAAATATTTTTTTTCGATACTTTTGCAAAAAACTGCTCAGCTGCTTTTGGGTCAGGAAGATAGGTAATCATGTGTAGAATCATGCTATCAAAAAATAATTCCTTGCGAAATCGTATGGTAGACTCCACACGAAAAAAACAGATTTTTCGAAAATATTTTTTTTCGATACTTTTGCAAAAAACTGCACAGATGCTTTCGGGTCAGGAAGATAGGTAACCATGTGTAGAATCATGCTGTCAAAAAATAATTCCTTGCGAAATCGTATGGTAGACTCCACACGGAAAAAACAGATTTTTCGAAAATATTTTTTTTCGATACTTTTGCAAAAAACTGCACAGCTGCTTTCGGGTCAGGAAAATAGGTAATCATGTGTAGAATCATGCTATCAAAAAATAATTCCTTGCGAAATCGTATGGTAGACTCCACACGAAAAAAACAGATTTTTCGAAAATATTTTTTTTCGATACTTTTGCAAAAAACTGCACAGCTGCTCTCGGGTCAGGAAGATAGGTAATCATGTGTAGAATCATGCTGTCAAAAAATAATTCCTTGCGAAATCGTATGGTAGACTCCACACGGAAAAAACAGATTTTTCGAAAATATTTTTTTTCCATACTTTTGCAAAAAACTGCTCAGCTGCTTTCGGGTCAGGAAAATAGGTAATCATGTGTAGAATCATGCTATCAAAAAATAATTCCTTGCGAAATCGTATGGTAGACTCCACACGAAAAAAACAGATTTTTCGAAAATATTTTTTTTCGATACTTTTGCAAAAAACTGCACAGATGCTTTCGGGTCGGGAAGATAGGTAACCATGTGTAGAATCATGCTGTCAAAAAATAATTCCTTGCGAAATCGTATGGTAGACTCCACACGGAAAAAACAGATTTTTCGAAAATATTTTTTTTCGATACTTTTGCAAAAAACTGCACAGCTGCTTTCGGGTCAGGGAAATAGGTAATCATGTGTAGAATCATGCTATCAAAAAATAATTCCTTGCGAAATCGTATGGTAGACTCCACACGAAAAAAACAGATTTTTCGAAAATATTTTTTTTCGATACTTTTGCAAAAAACTGCACGGATGCTTTCGGGTCAGGAAGATAGGTAATCATGTGTAGAATCATGCTATCAAAAAATAATTCCTTGCGAAATCGTATGGTAGACTCCACACGAAAAAAACAGATTTTTCGAAAATATTTTTTTTCGATACTTTTGCAAAAAACTGCTCAGCTGCTTTTGGGTCAGGAAGATAGGTAATCATATGTAGAATCATGCTATCAAAAAATAATTCCTTGCGAAATCGTATGGTAGACTCCACACGAAAAAAACAGATTTTTCGAAAATATTTTTTTTCGATACTTTTGCAAAAAACTGCACGGATGCTTTCGGGTCAGGAAGATAGGTAATCATGTGTAGAATCATGCTATCAAAAAATAATTCCTTGCGAAATCGTATGGTAGACTCCACACGAAAAAAACAGATTGTTTTTTCCGTGTGGAGTCTACCATACGATTTCGCAAGGAATTATTTTTTGATAGCATGATTCTACACATGATTACCTATCTTCCTGACCCGAAAGCAGCTGTGCAGTTTTTTGCAAAAGTATCGAAAAAAAATATTTTCGAAAAATCTGTTTTTTTCGTGTGGAGTCTTCCATACGGTTTCGGAAGGAATTATTTCTTGATAGCATGATTTTACACATGATTACCTATCTCCCTGACCGGAAAGTAGCTGAGCAGTTTTTTGCAAAAGTATCGAAAAAAAATATTTTCGAAAAATCTGTTTTTTTCGTGTGGAGTCTACCATACGATTTCGCAAGGAATTATTTTTTGACAGCATGATTCTACACATGATTACCTATCTTCCTGACCCGAAAGCAGCTGAGCAGTTTTTTGCAAAAGTATCGAAAAAAAATATTTTCGAAAAATCTGTTTTTTTCGTGTGGAGTCTACCATACGATTTCGCAAGGAATTATTTTTTGATAGCATGATTCTACACATGATTACCTATCTTCCTGACCCGAAAGCAGCTGTGCAGTTTTTTGCAAAAGTATCGAAAAAAAATATTTTCGAAAAATTTGTTTTTTTCGTGTGGAGTCTACCATACGATTTCGCAAGGAATTATATTTTGATAGCATGATTCTAAACATGATTACCTATCTTCCTGACCCAAAAGCAGCTGAGCAGTTTTTTGCAAAAGTATCGAAAAAAAATATTTTCGAAAAATCTGTTTTTTTCGTGTGGAGTCTACCATACGATTTCGCAAGGAATTATATTTTGATAGCATGATTCTACACATGATTACCTATCTTCCTGACCCAAAAGCAGCTGAGCAGTTTTTTGCAAAAGTATCGAAAAAAAATATTTTCGAAAAATCTGTTTTTTTCGTGTGGAGTCTACCATACGATTTCGCAAGGAATTATTTTTTGATAGCATGATTCTACACATGATTACCTATCTTCCTGACCCGAAAGCATCCGTGCAGTTTTTTGCAAAAGTATCGAAAAAAAATATTTTCGAAAAATCTGTTTTTTTCGTGTGGAGTCTACCATACGATTTCGCAAGGAATTATTTTTTGATAGCATGATTCTACACATGATTACCTATCTTCCTGACCCAAAAGCAGCTGAGCAGTTTTTTGCAAAAGTATCGAAAAAAAATTGTTTCGAAAAATCTGTTTTTTTCGTGTGGAGTCTACCATACGATTTCGCAAGGAATTATTTTTTGATAGCATGATTCTACACATGATTACCTATCTTCCTGACCCGAAAGCAGCTGTGCAGTTTTTTGCAAAAGTATCGAAAAAAAATATTTGCGATTCGATTTCGCAAGGAATTATTTTTAGATAGCATGATTCTACACATGATTACCTATCTTCCTGACCCGAAAGCAGCTGGGAAGTTTTTTGACAAAGTATCGAAAATAGAATATTTTTTAAATGTTAGTCTTTCATGCCTATGATTTGGTAAAGAATGATTATTCTATAGACTCAATTGATCGAGACCCAGAAGCAGTTGTGCAGTGCTTTATTATACATCGCATCATCGCAAACAAAAGCAGTTGAGGGATTTCGATATTCCCTACCCTAAAAGGGGGGAAACGTGTGCCACTGGTCGATCGGGAAAGTTCGGAAATTCTGGCAGCCAGCTCTGGCAGCCCACTTCACGTAGGTGTCTGTTTAGTACATTGTTTGATTTTTTGGATCAGTACAGTTTCCTGGTTTCAATAAGAAACATTTCTTTACTGATGTTCAGTCTCATCAATCATTAGTTATCAAGAAATGACTTACCCAGGTTGATGATCGTCAATATTTAATAATAAAAAACACTTGGAAATGAAAACTAATTAATTTGAAAACATGTACCGACTTGTACACAATGGAAGCGAATACGCTAACGGCTAGTGACACGGTTTCCACTTTGCTTTGAGACTTCCGTATGCGCATAACTTTGACTGCTCAGTGACCGTGTATGAATATGTTTTGTACTTATTCCTGTATGATCTAAGGTTTTGTTCATATTTTCGCAACAACTAACGTATATTTTCCTTCCTCCCTGAAAAATGTATGTCGGAAATCTTGAATCTTCGGAAGTCTCAAAGAAAAGTGAAATACGTTTCGCTAGCCGCCTGTCAGAATGTTTCATTTTCATCACAAAACTCACGAAATCAAAAAGCTGTCAGTACTCCAGTACATGGTTACAGAAAAACAGAAGAATAAGATTATTGATGATAAAAAGAAGAGATGTCACGACTCTAACCTTCAAACTCTGTTTTGTTGTGGTTCTTCGAAAAGTGAGGTTAATAAATTTAAAATTTGTTTTCCTTACTTCCTTCGCTTTTTCCTCGAAGCCCCGTAGTATGGTTAGGGGGTAAATGAATTTAGGTTTTCCAATGGAGTCAGGTATTCATTCGTCCTGTTTTAGGCGAGATAGAAGTCGAACTCCCGAAAGGAAAAGGAGACGGTCTAGGTCAAGGAGTAAGGACAGGTCCAAACTTACAAGATACAGAAGAAGCAGGTCTAGGGAAGTCAGACGTAGAAGTAGGTCTCGTTCAAAAGATAGACGAGATAGAGAACGGAGATCACTAAGTAGGGAAAGAGACCATGGAAGAGAACGAAGAAGGTAGTTGTAGTTCAATTGTTTCTATCTCAGTTTTATGAGGACCTATCAATCAATGGAGGTTTATCTCGTTTATTTGATCCCTTGATCAATCCCAAAAACATTGAATTTTCCATTGAACTATTTGCAGAGGTGACAGCAAAGAGAGAAGGACTGGAAATAGCAAGTCTGGTAACAGCAGAAAAAGGTCTAGATCAAAGTCAAAGGAGAGATCAAAGACAGATGATTCAGGACTATCTTTTGATCCAGCCAATTTAGATAAGGTAAGACCAAGGGTGAGACACAGTTAGTCATAGCTAATAAATTATTTGAATTTTTCCCTTATGGTGTTAGGAAGAGGAACAAAAGAAATTAGAATTGGAAATGGTGAAACGTAGGGAAAGGATAGAGAGATGGAGAGCTGAGCGTAAGAAAAAAGAACAAGAAGCCACTAAAAAAGAGGCACAGAAAGGAACTTTAGTTCAAAATCTGACAATACCACAGGGCTCTTTCAAAAAATGGTCTCTAGAAGATGATTCTGAAGATGAGGATAAAAATGATAAGGCAGAAAAAGAGAGTGAAAAAGAAGATACAGAGAAGGTAAAGGAAGTAGAACCTGTGATTATCCCTGAGCCTGAACCTGAGCCTCAGAAGCCTGTTCCAGAAATAAAAGAAATTGTGGAAGATGAAGTTGATCCATTGGATGAATTTATGAGAGGTATTCCTTGTTTATTCTCAAGTAGTGTATGTTATCCATTGAATAATTTGTAATCTTAGGTGTACAGGCAGAAGTCCGTAAAATAAATAATGTGAAAAAAACAACTGGAGAAAACAATAACAAAAAAGGCAACCTTGTAATTGTGACTGGTGTTGCTAAACCTACCAACAATACAAATAAGGGAGAGCTCATAGAACAAAATCAAGATGGTCTTGAGTATTCATCAGAAGAAGAACAAGAGGACCTCAAGGTAAACATTTTCAGGAGTGGAATTGAATATTCCAACTTTTCAATTATCTAGTACCAGTCTAAGTACTAACTTCCAACCATTTCTCAACTCAAGTTTATTATATTGTTCTGTTGTGTTTTCTTTAAAATTTGAGTGAATTGAAGATATTTATTATTTTTTTATTCCACTGTTTTCAATACCATATTTTATCCTACTACTTTCTTGTGAACACTGATAAAAACATAATTTTCCATCATGTTCTTGAAGATCATTGACGATCTAGAACTAGGGGGACTGTTTTTCAATACTCACTATTCCATGGTAATGCTATATCAGCAGTATTTATTTGTATCATCTGCTGAATTACTATGGCTAGAGAAAATCATTTCATTCTAGGATACTGCTGCAAGTATTGCCAACAAACAGAAAAAAGAATTGGCGAAAATTGACCATAACAATATTACTTATATAAGATTTAGGAAAAACTTTTATGTTGAAGTTCCTGAAATTGCCAAAATGACTAATGAAGAAGTTGATGTCTATAAGGAAGAATTGGAAGGAATTAGAGTTAAAGGTAAGAAAATAATGAAAATGATAGTCATGCCTGTGGTCATATACCCAGATTCCAGATATCATTGATTCACTAGATTCTCATTCACAACATAGATTCACAAGATCATTTTCAAGGGAAGATGCAAATCCAAAAGTCTAGGCACCACCTGGTGGTGAAATTGTAAACCTACCTAATGAGTAATCCATAATGGAGGCATCATATGATTTTATTAGTAATCACTTTCCAATAGTCTTCAATACTTCATATCACTATCTCACAAAGTGAAATTCAAGAGAGAAAGAATTTTTAATATTTGGTACTTTCTACAATGTAAATGAGTTCTTGGACAGAAATAGCCTATAGCGAGGCCTATAGTAAATTTACAGATAATTTTATTTTGCATGTTTTATTTAACCCTTGTTTATTTGATTCACTGTTTTTGTAAAAAAGTGACTAGATTGAATTGTTCTAATATTTTACATATCTATTTGAGGATGTTTTGATCCAATTTATTCCAATTTTACACAATCTGACTTGCCTAACATCCTTATAATTGTGGTAATTTATGGATTAAGAAAGTTTCTATTTGATTTTATTATATGTATTTCAAATAGAACACCCTATATATTTATTTCCTCATCATTGGAAAGACCTTTCAAAGACCTGTCCAAAAATACTGCCCTACTGAAAGGTGAAGAAATATATAGGGTGTTCCATTTAAAATTCATACACTTTTTGCTGCCTCCTGTATATTTCTGCAGATAGTGAAAATGTATCTGTTGATTGCAAAAGAAAAATAATTCCCCTGTAGGGGACCTTTCGTTTTTTTTTCCTGTCAAAAATGAAAGAGTTATAAGGGAAGGTAATTTATAACATGTCACCCGGTACAAAACATTACTCACAGTCCTCCATTGTTGTTTACGTCTCGCAGCGCCCTCATCGGTAATCGCGAGTTTTATAATGAATTATTGGCATTCAATTACTCCACTGTGTTGTTAGGAACCTAAATTAATTTTTGCAACATTCAAAGCTCATTTCAAACGAACCTTCATGGCCGCCAATAAGATGTTAGAGTCCTGTTGTTAAATAAAACAAAATAGGAGGAACTCATGATATTTTAGTTCATTCTTGACTCTTTTGAGCAACCAGCATGTCCAAATATTTCTTATTCTCCAATACAAAATATCATGTAAATGTTGGAGCCTTGGCAACATTGTGCTGAATGCTGAGATCTGACAAGACCACGACCACAAGCGTTACCACCGATACAACAAGGCCAGCAGACTCTGACGTAAACAGCTCGTGACGTCACCAAGAGAGGCCAGTGTTTTATTTTATCGCTTGTCGACTAACGCGTCAGTTCGTGTTAATTCATCGGTGATTCACGTATGTTTTTGAAACGGTCCCGAATTCTTTTGTTGTTTATTCATCAAAATAATTGGCGGAAAAATTACTGTTTTGTGAAATATTTTGTGTTGTTATCGGTGAAATAACAATGCCTTTTAAGTGTTGTGTTCCCTTTTGTCGGGGGAATTATGTGGGTGGTTCAAAGTTCATGCTTTTAGTTTCCCGTTGGACGAGGAGCTATCGAAAATGTGGGTATATGCAATTCACCGCCAGGATTTTACTCCATTTAAGTTCAGTAGTAAACAGAGCTTAATTTTTAATGATGAATTAATAATAGAAGACAATTACTCTCTCATAAAAAGTATAAGTAGAGGAAAAATAGAAAAGCTTTGATTGTGCAGTTAGTTTTGTATTCGTATATTATAGTCAAAAAAATCATCTCTGAATTCAAGGAAATTTTCTTGAATGTTCATAATAAACGGGCATTTTTAATTCTCATTCTCAAATTTCTTTCTGAAAACGGTCATTTGCCTTGTGGCAATGAATGCAGAATTCATTCCAATGATCAAATTGCAACTATCATATTAACATGAACTACAAACACTCTACTTAAAAAGGTAAAACTGCATTTATCATGATATTTATCATGAAGATATTTGACTAAAAAGTTCCAAATTTCACCTTCTTTTTCACCTGTCTTCTGGATGGCATTTAGAACAAATTTCCCTTCTTTTTTCATCATATTGGACAATTTATATATAATTCAACTATAAATATGATTTTCTTGAGATTAATCCATATTCAGTGAAAAGAAGGAAGAATATCATTCAAAATAATGGCGTGTGTAATGTCATTCGAAAGCAATCTATTGACATTTGACATCTCGTATTTTGATTGACTATTGATTAAATGGTCGTCATCTGGAATGCTTGTTCACTAAGTATGAAAAACTCGCCATAAAAATCATATTTCCTGTTGAATTTTCTATATAAAAATGTGCCATCGAAGTACATCATCAGTATATAAAGTGTCCAATGACAAAATTAGAGCAAGTAGCTTCAAATGCCCCCAACACAAGGGGAAAAAGAAGGCGAAATTTCGAACTTTTTCTTGAAATATCTCAATAAATAGTGGTTTGTTCACATTTTCATTATAAAATTCGGTTTATCAGACAAAAATACGTGAGTACCGAAAAAAATTTTCAAAAAAAAAACCATCGCATAATAAATGCAGTTTTTCCCCTAAAAAATTACGGTTTCAAGTCTAACGATCCACTTGGGTGAAAAACCTAACAACAGAAAATTGAAAACACTCACTGGTTATTTTTTCAGGTAATAGGAATTCTCCAAGATAAATATAGGTAATTGTAACAAACGGCATGTCAATCAAAATGAAATACATTTTCCACAATTTTCTTTCGATCAATCTCACGATAAGTTTATGTTCTGCGGGCCCTGTATAAGTAGGTGTGAAGTTTACCTTCACCACAATTTTTGCCAATATATTTACTTCGAATGGGTTGCTGTAGGTGGATATTTGTGTTTTATCCTGGTTTTTGCTTTAAAACTTCGTTTTTCCATAATAAAATCGAATGGGGTGCGAAGAAGGGCTCAGTTGACGACTGGCATCCTTTTTTAACCGGAATCCCTTCAAAAAACAGCAAAATCGGCTCAATGATGATCTAAAACTAAAATCGAAATACGCGGTCGCCTTATAGCGTTATAAGCGCTTGTCGTTTCGAGCCGCTGGTTAGGCCTCACTAAGTGACGTCACCCACGGAGCATGCAGGCCTTGTTGTATCGGTGGTAACGCCACAGGTCGTGCGCCGTGTTGTTACGTTTACCGATTCAAATGTCCACTAGTGTGAATTAATTTAATTATTATTTGAACAAATGTATTATAATTATAATATTGTTATTGCTAATTATGAATAATACCAATGCTCAAATGAGAATTCATAAATTATTGGATAGGTAATATTTCTGAAGTTCCCAATCATATTTCAACACATGGCAACTATGCTATGGTCTGTGTTTGAGTGATGATTCTATTTAAGAAATAAAATGAAATCAGTCTACTGGCTTATTTAATAGTTATTTATGTATCAAGAGCATAAAGTAGGCGTTTATGGCCTGTGGCCTGAATAATGGCCCGATGGCGCTAGCCGAGGGCTATTACACGCTCAAGGCCATAAACGCATTTCACGCACGTGATACATACAAAATTTTATGCACTAGTGGTTTATTTTCTGACTCAACAGTAATGACTATAACTATATGACTATAACTAATATTCCCTCGAATTTAATTTGTTACCTATAAACCCAGTAATCAAGAGAAGCGTAATGTTCATGGATGATTCACATATAAGAATTATCCTACGGATATTGCAATTATCATAATATTGAAACTTTTTGGTCTCTAGAAGAGATTCATTCTTCAGAATTTCACAATATGCATACCCAGTATATATACCTACCTAATTTTGACGTTGTCAAGCGAGCTGAAAGGTTGTTGTCTATACTCTATACCAATACATTCAATAAACAAGCTGAATTGTCATTCTTTGACTGGAAAGCAGAAATAAGTGATAATACTAATAGCCAGAGACTATGGAATCGGATAAAGAAAAGTTCATGATATACCGCTGAATATATTAGAATCTAGAAAAATGACCATATGTTTTTCATGAATCGATATGTGGATATCCAGAAACTAAGAACAGCGGGCGGTAAAGTGCACTTTACGGCCCGTGGGCCATAATGAGCCCGCGGGCGGTAAAGTGCAACTTAACGCCCGCAAAACCGGGCGGTAAAGTGCACTTTACGGTCCGCTAGTGCATAAAGACTTTTTACCTTCTGAAATCATGAACTTAATAATATTTTTTTTATTGATCTATACAAGAAACAACTCAATATAATAATGGTATATAGTGTGACTATAGTATAAATGATGCGATAATCGATAAGCATGTTCATGCTTGTTTCGATAAAAATAAATACAAATACAAATACAAATAAATACCTAGTAGCGTGTACGAAAATATGTGTATATAAAAAGAACCTCAAAAGTAGGGATAAAGGAAAACCGTACATTTTATACTGTACTTTTAATAAAAGAGAATCACACCTAATATTGTAGTTGTAATTGTAATCCTCTTTTATCTGAGCAGTAACTGCCACCCTGTACAGGTTAGTTATATATAAAGTATCTTTCCAGGCAAAGGCTGTCCAAGACCCATTAAAACTTGGGCTCAATGTGGTGTTTCAACAAAAGAACTTAGCATTTTGAAGAAGTTGAGTTTTGAGAAACCCACTCCAATTCAGGCTCAAGCTATTCCTGCCATCATGTCAGGAAGAGATCTCATTGGTAAGTGTTCCTCTATTCTCCGAAAAATAATTATAATATGACACTAATGACAGGAACATGAATGGCTCTGCAAAAAAAACACAAAATTATATTACTTTTTGCAACAAAAACTACTTTCCTAAATTATCTTCAGAGTTGTCAGAAATATAATAATTGTGATTGAGATTGAAAGTGTTTCCTAGCAATGCTGATTTGTTTACTGCTGGTGAAGATGACTACATGTGCTTTTTGCTAATACATTAGCTGTCTTTCAATTCTGATTGGTCAATCAGCGTTGATGTTTTCAACGATGTAATCATGGATAGCAAAGCAAAGTTTGGATGTTACCATGGATAGTGAAGCAAAGTATGTCAGGTTGACATAAAATAATCATGGCTGTACTTGTCAGAATGAATCATTCATTTATTATGAATGCTTTTTATGCTTCCTTAATTCTGTCTTTCATCATTAAAAATCGTTAAAGCGACCGAATTATCTTGAATATCCAGAATTCAGATTGTGATATTAGGTACTTATGGAAATGTTTATGGTTGCAGAGAAAATCATATCCTATGGAAATACTTAAATCAATATAAACATATGCGACATCCACAAGACTCTGTGAACAAATTAGTCCACGTTTACCATTTAAATGTTTGAAAATCACTATTGTCCATAGCAAAACATCAAAACAACACACCCGATTCATGATTGCAAGTAAATGAAAATAATACATAGTTATGCACAATAAGTTTCTATTGAAGTATATACAGAGTGACCCATTTGAAAGCGGACACTCATACATTTTCCATTTATGGAGAGATTTTCACTTTTTTTGAGATGTAGAGGAGGAGGAGGAAAAGTGTACTCTGGTGCTAAGTGATGTCCACTTTTCCAAAAACCAGCCTACTAGATCACATTCAGGGGCAGAAAAATCCAGAATCCATATTAGCGATTGTTATAGAAAAAATCCGCGTACACCACTGAAATCGGCGTCTTCTAAAATAGAGCTGTACCAAATTTCATGAGAAAATATTCAAAATGTCTCATTTCAAACGGCACCCTCTCTATATCTCAGCTATTAGTCGTGCGATTCATACCAAATTTGAACCGGTATCAATAATCACCAATGTGATTAGTTTTTCGGAGAGAAACATCCTGTTGGACAGTGCAGTGTTTTTTATTGAGATAAAATGTGGTCGATTTTTATGAAATCATATTAGGAATTTTTTGCATGAAAACTAGCTTGATATCATTGTTTCTTATGCTTTCGAACTTTCATATGCAAAAGATCTCCTCATTCCAAATTAACAGGATTGGCTTCATTTTTTCATTCTCAGTCTCGAAAAAATAGTGAGTTCAAATTAACTGCAAATTTTGAAACATTCAATAGCTCAGGTAGGTAGAAAATCGTGATTTGAAAGAAATAACAAGAAACGTTATTTTATGTTGAACTCACCGTTTCCAAGTAAATAATTATCACGTTTGCAGAAATGCTGTTCAGATCTGTCTGTTTTTGTAACACTCCATAGGAATCATATAAAAATCCACATACGGGAAATTAGTTTTCCTGTAAAAAAATCCCAAAATAATTTCATGAAAAATTGACCCCTTCTCATTCTAATAAGAATGCACGGCACTGTCCAAAAGGATGTATGTCTTTGAAAAACTGATCATATTGATGGTCATACATACTGGTGAAAATTTGGTGAAGATCGCACGATTAATAGCTCAGATATAGAGGGGGGGGGGCTGTAGAATGTTGAATATTTTCTCATGAAACTTGGTACAGATCTATTTCAGAGAACGCCGGTTCCAGTGGTGTACGCTGATTTTTTCTAAAAAAATCGCTAATATGGATTCTGGATTTTTCAGCTTCTGAATGTGATCTAGTAGGCCATGGTTTAAAAAAATGGACGCCGCTCACCTCCAATATATACTTTTTCTCCCTCTACAAATGAATGTTGGCTCCAAAACGCGTCGGAGCTGGAACCCAGTAGTGAAACGCTCATTCATTATGGGTAAACTAGCTACGGTATTCCAGGCAGAGGTATACGCCATTGAAATGTTAGCAAGGGAGCTGGAAAATCGACACCACACACGAAAAACAATAAAGATATTCTCAGATAGTCGAGCAGCACTTATAGTACTTAAATCCAACTGCTTCAAATCCAGAGCAGAATGGAACTGCAGAGAAACCCCAAACCGACTGGCACAACGCAATAAAGTTAACCTAGTCTACAGCTTCTACAGGGTTTATCATTGAAGATAGAGAAAAACTTCGAATGCAGAAGTTGTAGGGTTTGTTCTGAACCTCCAGAAAATTATACCAGATGAAACAAACGAATATTTCTTATATCTAAGAAATGGGTACCAACTTCGTTATTTTCAATAGAAAACCCTATATATTTTTCGAAAAAATGTAAGATCTTTTTTTCCTGATTCCAAAAATATATTGGTCATTGATATTTGGTTCAGCCGTTTTCGATATATTCGAGGTTGAACATCTTAGATTTAGTTTCAATTTGATTCCACCAAATCGCAATTGCCATGAGGAAAAAACAACACATACGCAAGTTGTCATCAATAAAACGTTCTGTCATATGTTCATTGCATAGAATTTCGGAAGAAATATGGGTTTCAGTGAAGATGAAAAGTTTGAAATGATTCGTTTATTCTACAAAAATGATAATAATGCAGTGGAAGCTCGAGCCACCTCATCAAGTTATGCCCGTACGGCCTCACTTGAATGATCGTTATCAAACGTGGATCGGAAAATTTGGAACAGTGGAATGGCCGCCGAACAGTCCAGATTCAACGCCTTTAGATAACTTCCCATGAGGCTATTTGAAGAATGAAGTGTATAATGAATGAAGAAGAAATTTGGCTGATTTGAGAGGAAGAATTTTGGAATGCATTAAAATATTGAACAATCATCACTCCAACTTCATTTGCAATTCGATACATAAATTGGATAAAGACTACAGAAAATGTATACAAAACAACGGTGGTCACATCGAACATCTGTGAAATTGCATCTCCTTCAGTTACAAAAGTGAGTTTTTTTTTCATGGCAGTTGCGATTTGGTAAAATCTAAAATGTTCAACCTCGAATATCTCGAAAACGGCTGAACCAAATATCAATGATCTATATATTTTGGGAATCAGGAAGAAGAGATCTTGTATTTTTTCGAAAAATATATAGGGTGTTTCATTGAAAATAACAAAGTTGGTACCCATTTTTTATATCAGCGATATTCATTTGTTTCATCTGGTATAATTTTCTGGAGGTTCAGAACAAACCCTACAACTTTTGCTTCCGAAGTTTTTCACTATCTTCAATGATGAACCCTGTGGAAGCTGTTTAAATATACGGAATGACCCTGTACATGCCCTGCAGTGGCCAGAATCAGATTTTCAACATGTAGCAATACAACAGTAGGGCCAGAAAACCTGTTAAATTTTTCTCCCAACGTACTCCTTAATTTCGCATAGAGATTAGATATACTGGGAGAAATATAACCATAGGGTGAGCCACAATTGGCCGCAGTGGAGGGACTCACGTTTGAACCTGAATAAAAAAAAAATTACTTCATAAATGGAATGTTTATGAGGGTGGTTTGCTTTCAAATGGGCCAGGAAAGTTTGACAATTCAAAATTATAACCTCTACATTGATAAAAAAAAACTGAAATATTCATTGATTGTCTTTTAGGTATCGCGAAAACGGGCAGTGGCAAAACATTGGCTTTCCTTCTGCCGATGTTCCGGCACATACTCGATCAACCTCCTCTAGAAGATACGGACGGTCCCATATCGATAATAATGACTCCGACGAGGGAGTTGTGTATGCAGATCGGCAAAGACATAAAAAAGTTCACCAAAAGCTTAGCGATACACGCTGTGTGCGTGTATGGAGGCACTGGCATTTCTGAACAAATTGCCGAATTGAAAAGGGGTGAGTCGAACAACTAATCAATGTCATGCTAAATGAAAACCTAATTAGTACGCCAGAGGTAGAATATTGTTTGTGCAGTGAATAAGATATGTAAAAATCGCCATTGTTGACAACATTTTCAGTGAGCTAATGACCCCTATGTTGAACTGACTTATCTTTATTTTCCTAACCCTAAACATTTTTCTTAGTCACCTAAATCGTGCTGGACGATGCCGACAGTATGTTCGACATGGGGTTCGACTACTGCAAGGATCTGTCGTTTTGTTTTCTGAATACTTCTAATGTTCCATCCACCGTGAAACACCTCTCGCGCAGGCATTGGAATAATTTCTGTACTAATCGCGCAGGCGCCGAGATTATGCAGCGCGTCACCTATTTTTTTTTATGTTCTGGGTCCCACAAAAAGGGATATCCTGTAATTTTCAGAGAACATCGTGAGAATCAAAGGAAATAAGGTAGGAATAGAATAGAATAGAATAGAATTTATTCATATCGCCACAGCTACCACCATAGGTGGATATATACGTCAAAGTATAGGTACAAGTCTAAAATACAATACATCTCAGTACACAAAATTAAAATTCACAAAACAATAGCACTAGTTAATAACATTTGTTAACAAGGACAATTAATAAAAATCATCACAGTTCATATAGTAAGTTCGATGCATAGTACTCATCGATGCTATAATATGCCCCTTTACCAAGCAAACGTTTCAGGACATTTTTAAATTTACCTGTTGGCATCTCTCTGAGTACTTGAGGCAGGTGGTTATACAACTTGATCCCAGTATAGTTCGCAGATTTTTCAAACTTGGACAATCTATGTTTTGATATCATGAGGTTATTGGCATTTCTCGTGAAATGATCATGGCAGTCAGAATTCTTAGATAGCCTATTCAGGTTGTGCTTGACGTGCAATAGAGTCTTTAAGATGTATATAGATGGTAATGGTAGGATGCAGTTGTCCACAAACACCTGCCTGCAAGTACTACCGAATGGAATATTGAATATTAGTCTCATTATACGCTTTTGTTTACTAAATATTTTTTTGGCGTTTACAGAGTTTCCCCATAAACAAACATGGTAGGTAAGGTGACTGTAAACTAACGAGTAGTATATCTCAATAATCGTGCCCAAATTTAACGTTTTTTTAAGTTGCACTATAGCATAATATGCAGAGTTGAGTTTCTTACTCAAGTGTTCTATGTGGGGGTCCCAACATATAAATTGGTCCACAATAACACCCAGAAACCTCACCTCTGACACACATGCTATATCAGGTATGCACACCGCGGGCTCACCTTTTTTGCATCTGAAATGCATGTAAACTGTTTTACCAAGGTTCAGTTTTATATGATTTCCATTACACCACTTATGAAAAGTATCGACTACATATGATATTCTTTCATGAAGCCCCCCAGAAGTATGTGACGTGACCACTACAGAGGAGTCATCCGCATACATTATTATCTGATCATGGATATGTTCTGGCAAATCATTGACGAATAAGAGAAATAAAAGCGGCCCCAACACAGATCCCTGCGGAACACCCATATCTATATTATACATATCAGACCTTTCGTTTGTAATTTGCACATAGTAACTTCTTTCAGATAAATATGAGTCCAATAAGTCCAACATAGATCCTCTTATACCATAAACATAAAGTTTATCCTTCACCAATTCTCTTTTGATGCTATCGAAAGCTCTGGTTAGATCAAAGAAAATACCTGCCACATATAACCCTTTGTCCAAACAACTATAGACAGTGTCCATGAATTCAAGGGTAGCTCCCTCAGTTGATCTTCCAGGTCGAAATCCATATTGATTATTGGACAAAATTTCATTTTTTTCTAGAAATGTGATTATCCTGATATGATATGCCCGCTCAAAGATTTTTGAAATTACATTCAGCAGAGAGATTAATCTATAGTTGTCGATACATGTAGGATCCGCTTTTTTGTATACTGGGATTAGTTTACTCAATTTCAAGTCGTGTGGAAATACTCCGGTTTGAAAGGATAAGTTGATCAAGAATGCAAGAGGTTCTGATATCACATCGATTATATGTTTGATCAATATGATATTAATTCCATCATCACCTACAGAGCGTTTATTTCTAATATCACTGACAATATCTACAATTTCCGCATTGGTGACAGGAAAGTAAGCAAAACTGTTTGTTGTCCAATTAGTTGTGAAGGTGAAATTGTTAGTATTTTCATTGAAGAAATGCTCTAGCTCCCTAGTTTTCTCATTAAAGTTTACAGCAAAATGTTGGGCAAGTGACATACTGTCAGTTATTATTTCATCATTTATATTTAGTTCAATCTTATTCATTTTTTGCTTTCTACCAACAGTATTGTTGACTATGTTCCAAATTGTTTTCTGTTTGTTACCACTGTTTGTAATTAGTAGGTCATTGTGCTCTTTTTTCTTTTTGGTTATTAGACAGTTGTAGTCTTTTTTAAAGTTTTTATAGTATTCCCAGATGCCTTCATTATTCAGACTGCGAGCTCTACTATATAAATTTTTTAGTTGCTTACCTTTCTCATGAATCTCTTGGTCATACCATTTATTATTATTTGCATATTTCTTAACTTTATTACTGATCATCTGGCAGTTCGAGTCAACGGCAAAGTTTAAGGTTTCCATGAAACTACGGAAAGCTTCATTCATTCCTTTATGTGAATGTAAATATACTTCATCAAAACCTAACCTCAACAGGTCTTGCCTTAACATATCAAGATTTTCCAAACTGAAATTTTTGGAGTAGCTAATGTTCTTATTTGGGGTGTCTGAAGTAGAATCATTGATAATTATGTTGAAGACCAGGGCCAGATGGTCACCAATATTGGGCTGATCAATATGACAAGTGATAGTGTTAGACACATCATTAGTTGCTATATAGTCAATTTTTGTCCCAGTAACTTTATTTTTGTATTCAAATATACGGGTAGGTTTGTTGGGGAGACTTAATCTGAAGCCAAATGACTGTAGTAGATCATCTAATATAGACTTTTCATTACTCGGAATTAAATAATTGACATTGAAGTCCCCACATAGGTATACCCAGTCATGATGCTTGATATGCCTGGCCAGTAAAGAATAGCACCGATCAATAAATATGGTGTTCTTCTTAAATTTCTGCAGGTTATATGCCTCGAGGAACACCTCCTTCGGCAATGTGTTCCAGAGCCTCGCTGTTCGTTGGATGAACGAGTCTTTGGAAAGAGATGTTCTGCAGGTCTCCAAAGTGACCACGAAGGGGTGCGAAGCCCCAACTCGACGGGTTAATCTCGCGGGGACTGCCAAGGGAGGAACAATTGTTGATATTTCAGAAGAGTATCGTCCATGAAAATATCTATAAAATAGAGCCAGATCGCCAACTTTTCTGCGGTGTTCCAGAGAAGTGAGTGAGTTTATGAGCGAGGCATCACCCACGAGACGAATTGCCCTTTTTTGGACAGAATCCAACAGTTTCAGAGTATGTTTGGGTGCTGCACTCCAAATATGGGAACAGTATTCGAGGACGGGTCGGATCTGTGTCTTATAGATCATAAGCAGCTGACTGGAAGTGAAATAGCTCCTGGCTCAAAACAGAAAACCAAGTTTTTGAGATGCACTTTTAGCAATTGCTCTCACATGATTTTCCAAAGAAAGGTTATAGCTGATAGTAATACCAAGCATCGAAATGGATGTCTTCAAAAGTATGGTTACTTCTGACAAGCTTATGTTGGGCACAGTGATATCGGCTTTTTCAGAGAAAAGGTATGCTTGTGTTTTGTCCATATATATGTTGTCAACATTTCTCCTTTGTTCGTTTCTGATTTGCCTGGCTGGTATTGGAGCCCTGGAAAAGAAGAGACATGGAGTTACTTCCAACAAATCGTTGATATGGAGTAGAAATAGTGTTGGTGCTAGCATTGATTCTTGCGGAACGCCAGCATCTATGATAAGAGAGTCAGATGAAACTCCGTCGACCACTGCATGGAGAGACCTGTTTGAGAGAAAACTAGCTAGCAGAGAACATAGCTGGGAAGGTAAGCCATAAGATGAAAGCTTGGCGAGGAGTCCGTGGTGTCAAACTCGATCGAATGCCCTGGAGATATCAAGCGCCACGGCTAAGGTTCCACCATATTTTTCAATAGATTGCTGCCATATATGTGAGACGTAAACGAGCAGGTCACCAGTTGATCTCTGATGACGGAAGCCATATTGCCTATCGTTGATAATACCTTAATGTTCCAGGTATTTCATGAGCTCGATGTTGATAGCTTTCTCCATGACCTTTGAAATAATAGATAGCAGTGCGATCGGTCTGTAGTTGCTAGATAGGGTCTTTTTGCCTTTTTCAGGAACTGATTGTACTCTTGCAATTTTCCAGTTGGACCGGTATATCCCCAATTTGTAAGAGTTGTTAAACAACTTGCAGATAACAGGTGTTAGTTCGGGAGCACATTCCTTGAGGACAATCTTTGGGATTCCGTCGGAGCCACAATAAAATCTTCCTTATAGTACGTTGGCGAAAGATGATCTCGGGCATATGATAATGTCAATTGGTGTTATGTTTGGAGGTTGTTTTCCCGATGAATCCAGAGTGGAATTTCCAGCAAATAAAAAAAATGTTGGCTTTCTCCTGGGCAGTTGTGGCTAGTGTTCCATCTTCCTTGATTAGAGGAGGAAACGAGCTGGAAGTGGAGTTTCTCCCTACAGCTTTGGCGAAGGGCCAAAATGAACGGGATCCGTTAGGACATTCAACAAGTTTTGATCTTATTTTGGCATTATAAGCATCCTTATCGTGCTAGACGAGGCCGACAGGATGTTCGACATGGGGTTCGACTTCTGAAATGATCTGTCGTTTTGTTCTCTCAATACTTTTGAACTTCCATCCACCGTGAAACACCTTTCGCGCAGGCATTTGAATAATCTCTGTACTTATTGCGCAGGCGCCGAGATAATCGTGTGCACGCCGGGCAGGATGATCGACATGCTGGCGGCGAACAGTGGCAAAGTGACGAACCTGCGGCGCGTCACCTATATAGTGCTGGACGAGGCCGACAGGATGTTCGACATGGGCTTCGAGCCGCAGGTCATGCGCATCATCGACAACGTGCGACCCGATAGGCAGACGGTAATGTTCAGCGCGACGTTCCCGCGGCAAATGGAGGCGCTGGCAAGGCGGATATTGCAGAAGCCCATCGAGGTGCAAGTAGGTGAGTAAGTCTGTAACAACATTTCTGGGTTTACACATTGACGATGAATTAAGGTATGAAGAGCCTATAGACAAATTGTGGAAAAAGTTAGTCTGGGTGTTTTGCAGTCAGAACAACTTCGGGGAAACTTGGTAAAGATATGACGAAAATGGTATACTTTGCTCTTGTCGACTCCCATTTAAGATATGGAATTTGTTTATATCTGATATTTGTGTTAACAAAAGAGAACAGTGAGGTATTCGTGTGGAATTGAATTCAGAGATCCTTGTGGTGAGCCTTTATTGAATATAGAATCAAAGAATAGTAGGTTAGTCACCAAGAAGCTCCACTTCAAATGCGCGGGAAAACTGACAAATGACCTTGAATTTTTACTACGATCAGATGTCAGCAGTATGTTTACTTTTGCCAACTAATTTCTTCTCAGAGATTTGGCAAATTTTTCAACAGTGACAAAAGTGGATTTAATCTGCACAAAAGTGATTATTATTTTTATACTTGTGTTTTTCTGCTAAGTTTCAGTGGAATCATCATTATTTTTCGTTTCTTGTTATCATTTTACATAACCTCAAAATATTGTGGGAATAATTTCAAGGAATTTCTTATAAATAATTCATTCTATTTCCTTCAGTAAGACTGAGCAGAATGATTCATCAGCTTATGGAAAAATAAGATGAATCGAAGATGTTCATTTAGAAGATATCCTGAGATCTGTTCCTAACCTAAAATTACAAAGAGAAATTCCACATTGCACATAGGTAAATGATGATTTATCGTTCACAAAAACAAAATATCCTCATGTCCTGCTTAAGTTTCTGGTTCATTGGCAAGTCAAAATAAATTATTATTAATTTCTATTATTCCATTGACACTACAATAACACACATGTAAATAAACTATTCTAAGGTAGATTCACAATGTCCACCTGATTTTGTAGAATCGTGTTGTGATTGGGTGAACATACATTTACGCGATGGCTGTCAATCTATCCACCAATGAGGATTTGATACGTTGAACGCGGATCGCTCACTTGTAAGTTGTAAGCGCGCCTTCAATACGTATGTCAGTTTCAAAAAATCAATACTTCAACCTGCTTCCAACCAATGAGCGGAGCGTAACCCATCGTGCCAGTTCATTCACATGGGTTATTTCAAGGTCATCATCTAAGTTTCACTATTTCATTCATAAATACTCCAAGTGAAAACTCTTTCCCCTCTCCTCTTTGATAGAATATTGACACTGCCGTGTATCCATGTTTTGGAGACAGTGTGTCTAATTCACTGTATATACATAAATCAAAATTCTAGAAAAACGAATCGTTGTAACACTATACAGGCAATGATTATATTGGTACCAATACTATCTACTACTCAAATCAAAAACTCCTTTTATAATTGGAATTATTTATTTGGCTTGTCATTTTACGACGCGCTTTAGAGTAAGTCGAACTGGCGAACCAGTCTATACTCTTGGATTTTGTCAAAGATTGTTGCTAGAAGCTGAAAATTGACAATTGGTTGTTTCCATCGACGCGCGAGAATTTTCAAGTTTGTACCAAATTATTAATTGTTTGAATAAAAATGGGGGTTATAATCAAATGAATGTGACAAAACCAAATAGATGATAACTGATAACTTATTTTAGATACGTATTATACGTATTTATTTTGTATAATGGATTATGAAACAGAAATCGAACACTTGTATTTTTTATTACATTCGTCATTTTCATTTTTGTTCAAAAACATTCTTACTTTCTGTTCATAGTCAATAGAGTTTCTACAGTGTGACCCACTTATAATGGAACCACCCCTCTATCTTACGTAATCGTTGGGTAATCGGAAAATGATATTAGGAGTCAAAATAGGTCGAAAATCACTTAAGATTTGGAATCAGGACGCCCAATTTACTAACTATTCAAATTTTTCCTGGAAAATTTTCGGTTCGGAAAAATGAAATTTTGTCGCATTTTTTATGGAAGCACCCCCGTATCTCCCGTAATTGACTTTATCTTTGGACTTTCTCTTCCTCCGGCAAATTTCAGAACCCTACCTCAATAATTACGTGAGATACGGGGGTGCTTCCATGAGAAGTGAGACAAAATTTCATTTTTCCAACTGAAAATTTTCCAGGAAAACTTTGAATAGTTAGTAACTTGGGCGTCCTGATTCCGAATCCGACGTGATTTTCAACCTATTTTGACTCCTATTTCAGGCGCGAGCGTTTTCGGGTTAATATATTGTTCAATTTCCAGGCGGCAGGTCGGTGGTGTGCAAAGAAGTCGAACAGCACGTGATCGTGATTGAAGAAGACCAAAAGTTCCTCAAACTGCTCGAACTCCTCGGGCTCTACCAAGAGCAGGGCAGTATCATCGTGTTCGTGGACAAGCAGGAGAACGCAGACGTGCTGCTCAAGGAGCTGATGCGTGCAGCCTACAGCTGCATGAGCCTGCACGGCGGCATCGATCAGTTCGATAGGGATTCGACGATGATCGACTTCAAGAGCGGGAAGGTGAAGCTGCTGATAGCGACTTCGGTGGCAGCGAGGGGGCTAGACGTTAAACAGCTGATACTGGTGAGTGAATAGTTCGTTCTGTAAATTTATGCTTCAGAAATTCATGAATCATTAAGAAGTATACGCCTACTAGCATAGCCATCTTTAAAGAGGAAAGTCATTCGCACAAATACGATATATGGGTTCTGGATGTAACAGAGTGATTGTTTTTAGTTGTCAAGAGTAAATTTATGTGTTATCAATGTGAAATATTGGTGAAAGCCAGTGAAAAGTTTAAGAAATATTATAGTGATCGAGTTTTAAGTGGAAGGGTGGTTATGTATGTGTGAAAGTCTCATTAAATAATGTTTTCGAATTGAGGTTATGTTTTATGTTGACTTATTTCTCATAAGAAGATGCCAAATATTTGCTATGTGACAGGGTGTTAGTCAAATTATGCCTCGGAAAAGAAATATGTTTAGATTTTTTAATTTCCTGGAGATGAAGACCTGCGAAAAAACGTGGATATCTTGGATACCTCGTAAAATTGGTCCTCATCTCAACATTCCGTAGTGTGTAATTCATTTCGTTGAAACAGATATTATTGGACATGATACATTTCCTTTTCCAGATGGATCAATTGGGACAAATTTGCTAAGACAGCCACAGTTAGTTATTACAGCAGTTCCCTCTATTTTTCTAAATTTACCAATCTTCTTCCTAATACATCATTAAGAACAAATCCTGATGAAAGACGCCAGAAATATTGAGCTGTTCAAAATTAAAAAATAATTGAATGAAAAATCCAACCTTATTCCAGGGTTGGCACGAATTAATTCATATGAATTAAGTCAGTGATTTAATTCGTGAATTAATTCAAATGACTTTTTTCAAATAAGTCCTGAATTAATTCAAAATTTATCAAATGGGAACAAATCGCATTATTACCTTCAATTCAAACTAGTTTAAAATGAAATATCCGATGGCATCTGACAACTGACAACCGTGAAGCACCACACGCGGAAGGAAAACAAAATTTTCTAGGAGCCGCTTTACAGTTTACAATATTTCATTCATGCATTTGATTGCTCCAATTCATATTTCCGGCAAAAATAATACGTAGGCTTTTCAACACTGAATCGAAATTACCGGCTTGCAATGTCTTTTTGTCATAGATTCTGTGTATTACTTCTCACCGAGTTTTGAGTTGGGTCAAGAGTTGGGTAGAAGAAACCATGAGAAAGCCAAGAAAAGTAAGATCCGATGTGTATCTAATGATGAGTGAAATTCCGAAAAGCTAACATGTCACCACTAGAATTGCACCAGTAATACAAATTACCACATTATAAATAAATAGGTCCGGACTCATTTCTTGCAATGCATCGAAAAATTGTTTTCCAAGGTGACACCAATCCGTAGGCGCGCCATGGAAATTGCTGCATTTTATTGAAAATAACTGTAAAGCGCCTCTATAATGAAGATTGTGAATGAGTAATTTAAGTTGCATAAACATCATTTTTCATTCAATAAATAGTCTCAGTTCATATTGCAAAAATGGCATATTTTAAGTTTAAGTTATTGTCATGCTTTGGGATTTTCAACGGAAATAAAAACTTGACTTTTGCGATGTTCTTGTATTTTGTTCAAGTAAATAGAATTTGATTTGTTCTCAAATGAATTAATTCAAAAAAGTCCGAATTAATTCAAAAAGTCAGACTTTTTTGACTTTTTTATAAAAGTCATGACTTATTCCAACCCTGCCTTATTCTCAATTATGAGCAGGTAGTTGAAGAATATGCAGAAACATTATATAATTGATAGTTGATGGAATTGGAAAGTCCATGAGACAATTTTTATCAATTGGGTTCACAGTCATATGTTTTGAAAATAGCTCCCCAAGTTGTAGTATTGAATGAGATGCAGGTCCAAGTTTTACTTAAGGTAATAATGCGTTGGAATTCAATGATTATAAATGGATTCTTTTCTATGATATGGAAATGAGTAGGTGGTCACGACTTCAGAATATTCTAGCAAGATACAGAAACAGCTCAGATCACACAGACCGGAGAACATATAATTAGCTAATTTGATGACTTTATCGAGAAAAGTTTGATATATCTCAAAAAAAGCTAAGATACTATGAGATCTTGTCAAAATAGCTTACGTCATTCTAAAAATCCTGAAATTTTGATTGATCAATTGAAACAAGTACCCATTAAAAAATAGACATTCTTCTTGTACCGATAATTATATCTTATATGTTATACACCACTTCTCATTCTGTGTACGAACTCGGCTGTGAGATCCATAACCAATACAAAGAATAAGATCTTGCCTTGAAATTTGTGATCTTGAATGGTTGATGTAAAATTGTACTAGCCAGTTGTTCATTCCATCCAGGAAACTAAATAAAACCTGAACTGTGACCTGACCCATTATTTCTTGCTATTTTTTTCATAAAATTTCAATTATTTATTTCAAAGACAGTAATTGATGTGACGTTAGCGCGGTAAACCGGTGTAGCCAATCGAGAGTAGGCCTTCCGGATCACGGCGATGCGGTGTTGCATTTTTCTCGTCGCGGCTTGTTATAGAGCCGGCTGTGCTACAAGTGTAACGCCAAACACGGATTACTGAATGAAATCGCAAATGGTGGGGATAATAACAGACACTTGTACATTTGCGGATCGTCAGAACCTTCTGAGATATTATAGAACATTCTCAAACTTCCTGGAATGTTCTGAGAGATTTATTAACTCTCTAGACTATTCTTGAACCTTCTGGAAGATTCTGTTTCAGAGCCATTTTATACCATTCTTGAACTTTATGATATGCAAGGTTTTTTTTATGTTCTGGTTCCCATGAAAAGGGATATCCTATAATGTTCAGAGAACATCGTGAGAACCAAGGAAAATAAGGTAGAAATTGGTGTTCTTCTTGAAATTCTGGAGGTTATATGCCTCGGGGAACACCTCCCTTGGCAATGTGTTCCATAGCCCCGCTGTTCGTTGGATGAACGAGTCTTTGGAAAAGGATGTTCTGCATTAATTCGACGGGTTAATCTCGCGGGGACTGCGAAGGGAGGAACAATTGTTGATATTTCTGAAGAGCATCGTCCATGGAAATATTTATAAAATAGAAACTGTATTCCTCAGTTGCCTGATAACAAATCAAACACAGCTTTTGATCCACGATGACATCCAAGAATTTCGTTTTAGGCACTTTTTATGGATATAGATCTATTTTGATAAACGGACTATAGTCATAGCTAATGTTCTTTGGTGAAAATAGCATATACTGTATTTCAGATGTATTTACCAATAGGCCGTTTTTGTGACACCAATGGTGGAATTATTGTGATTTGATTTTCCAACAGATGCTTGCAGATGATTTGTGTCATCATCATGAATTACCATTTTGTTTGGGGAAGTACAAGAATATTTAATATCTTTCATGAAAATAACAAAAAACAGAGGACCTAAGATCGATCCTTGAGGAACTTCCATTGTAACTTGCAGAGGATTAGATTCCATAGAATCCAACATGACTATCTGCGACCGGTTTTGCAAATAATATGCTGCACAGTCATTGGCTACACCTCTAATACCGCTGCGGTACAGTTTTTCTATAAGTAATTTGGGGTCAACTGTATCGAATGCTCGACTTGAATCAAGGTACAGTGCTATAGGCATTTTTTTCTGATTCGAATATTCATAGACTTGACAGAGTTCCACTATTGCAGATTCAGTTGACCTCTTATTTCTGAAGCCATGTTGACAGTCTGCCATCAGCTGTTTATTTAATAGGAAATCTCTCAGGAGTATTTCATATGTGTACTCAATGACTTTCGCAAACTGTGGTTGCCGGCAAATATTACGATAGTTGCTCACATCTTCCCTAGATCCTTTTTTTTTTAATGTTGAGACTGACTTCGATAACTTTAAGTCTTCAGGGTATTTTCCTTCACAGAATGAGAGAATGGTACTATGAGAAAGTGGAAGGCAAATTATATCACTAACTATTTTAACAACTTTACATGAATTTCATCAATTCCTGGAGCAGGTTTCTTTGATGTTCTATCAATTGTATTTTTGATTTCACATGGTATGATTGAATACAAGAGTATTGAGAAGTCTGAAAATGGTGCCAGTACAATATCATTCATATTAGGTTTGATATTTTCATTTTTCATAAAAAAATCATTGAAGTAGTTAGTCATTTCACCTTTATCTGTGATTCTTCTATTATTTTCAATTAATTCAGAAGGTGACTTTGAAGTTGAGTCATTTTTATGTTTTGTTATTAATCTTCCAACTTTCTTAACATATGTTTTCAGTATTATTCAATGTTCTATCATTATATTGTGACTTGGATTTGATGATATTTCCTTTGCATATTGCTTTCAATTGTCTATGTCTATCTCTCCTTGATAATATTATTGTTTGTCGATTTCACTAATTTGTTAGGTACATTATGCAAATGTACGAGAATATACAGATTGTTTGTCGAATAGTTACATATAGGGCATGTGAATGGCAACATCATCCGGATATCGTACGTCTTCGCTAATCTCCGCTGGAAAATGTGAACAGAATTAAACATTCATTATGCTTTTTTTTTAATTCACTCTGCCGTTACTTGATGGACATCTATGGCAAATGTGAAAACTTCACAAACGATAAAATTTCCACAAAATTCTTAGACACACAGCATGTTTTGCTAACACAGTAGCTTCGTCAGGTGATATACTGGTACAATGAACTGGAGTTCATGAACATGAGTTCATTGTACCAGTATATCACCTGACGAAACTACTGTGTTAGCGAAACATATTGTGTGTTTAAGAGTTTTGTGTAAATCTTATCGTTTGTGAAGTTTTACATTCATTATGCTCGCGTGACTACGATGTTGCCAAATGCCGTCCTACAACATCCTACAAATCTGTATAGAAAGAAGATGGTAGGCGGTAGAAATCTATTAGTTAAAGATCCGAAGTAAGGTCGACCTCACATCGGACCCTGTACATGAAGTATAAGATCACAGAAAGTTGGGAAGAATATTTCGTCGAAATATTCAATATTACATTTGATTCATCTTGACCCAAACCATCGATTTATCCCTTGAAGGTGGCGAACTACGATTGCCCCAACCACTATGAGGACTATACTATATGTTCACATGAGGTTCAAGATCACAGAAAGATGGGAAGAATATTTTGTCAAAATATTTAATGTTGAATCAGATTCATCTTGACCCGAATCATCGATTTATCCATTGCAGGTGGTGAACTACGATTGCCCCAACCACTACGAGGACTATACTTACTATATATTTACATTATATGTTTACAACCACTACGAGGACTATACTTACTATTTAGGCCTGTTCGTCTGTATCGCTAAACTTGCTAAAGTTGATTTTTCCCATAGTTGTCTCTGTTCATGGCATGATGTAAACAAAGAAAGTCATAGAAAAAAATCAAGTTCAGCAGGTAGAGCAAGGACAAACGAACAGGCCTTATGTTTACATGAGGTTTAAGATCACAGAAAGATGGGAAGAATATTTCGTCAAAATATTCAATGTTACATCTGATTCATTTTGACCCAAATCATCGATTTATCCCTTGAAGGTGGTGAACTACGATTGCCCCAACCACTACGAGGACTACGTGCACCGATGCGGCCGCACAGGCAGGGCGGGCAACAAGGGCTTCGCCTACACCTTCGTCACCCCCGATCAGGCGAGGTACGCCGGCGACCTCATAAAGGCCTTCGAGCTGGCAACAGTGGCGGTGCCGGAGCCGCTCAGGGCTCTGTGGGAGACCTACAAAAACAAGCAGGAATCGGAAGGTAAAAATTGAGTAGTTGGAAACAAAAACACAAATTTCAAAGTCGGTCGACCACACTTTATATAAAAGTAAGATTAAAAACAGTGACCGGTTTCGGCACAACGGCCATCATCAGACTGTGCAGTACCTGAAATACATCATGAATTTGGAAATTGAAATTGTCACTATAAAACGAAAACTTACAATAGTTACATTATAATCGTCAAAAAAGAGATTGTAAAAAATCAGAAAACCATCATTAGGCCGAGAATTCAGATAAATACAGGGTGTTACATAATTCAATACGAATATTTTAATGACATATTCCTGGGGTCAAAATAAGACTTTTTTTCTGCAACCGACACAAAAGTCGTCCATTTTGATACCAAAATTAGCACTTAAATTGACGTTTCTATTACTGACACAAAAATAGGTATATGTTGCTAGGCAACATATTTAGTTCCTAGGAGCTAAAGTTGAATTTTAGTTCCTAGGAGCTAAAGTTGAACTTTAGCTCCTAGGAACTAAAAAGGATCTACTGGACGTCATCAAGAATAAACAACATTGTGACGGTTGGTTATTTGGGTTAAGACGCATACCTGATTTGTTTCCGATTTCAGCAGATTTGGCAATTTATACCCATGCTGGAGATATAAATACACCTTATTATAGTTAAGTATTGGAATTATAAACATCTCAGTTGAGTATTTTTGTTTTGATCAGGAGAGCCTTCAAGATTCAAATACTTGCTGGATCTGTATTTCATTCGTTATTCTCGGGATGGATAACTTGTTTTCGAATAATCACGGCAAGTAATAGTTTTTTTGTCTCAAACAACGATATTGTTTAGCTTCATCTGATTATCAAGTCAAACACAGTGTAGTATGGAGAGGAATAAATAATCACTATTATCATTGTTGACATGCTCACAAACCTAACATTTTCCACATCCTAGAAAACCTAACCTGCTGTTAATGCAGGTAGAATATTCTCACCACATGGATTATTTGTCAATATTTGTTGCATTGCATACATATGGCACGGCATTGGTGGTTACTTCAATGTTTATTTGAGTTAATTGTTTCGGTTGCAGAAAAAATAGCATGTTTCATTCGGATCAAAAGTGACTTTGTTCGACTCGCAAATTTTGCATTTGCGAGGCGGAGCGTTTAGCGAAGCCGAGCGAAAGCAAAATGTTGTTGTTGCATGTGATGCGTGAGCGAAATAGATAACCTAACGCAGGAAACGAGAACGACCTAATAGCAAAAAAACGGAAAAAATACAATTATCGTCAGCGACCAGCATGACACAGATCTTGTCGCAGAGATTTTTAATACTTTGTGTTGTTATGAAGTGCTGATGAGGGTTTCGACGGGACTTACCAAACAAACGTTGTGGTCAAACATAACGGCAGCTGCTTGTATGTCCCTCCCGGTATCTTCAAGAGCACATGCAAGATAGACATTACGTGGTTCCCATTCGATGACCAACATTGTGACATGAAGTTTGGTAGCTGGACCTATGACGGCAACCAGGTATTGCTGTATACTGTTAACATTCTTTGTTAGACCTACATCACAAGCCTTCACACACCATCACCACCGTTCAGGTCTTTCGGCGCATTCTGTTTTGCACTACTATGGCACTTGCTGGGATGTTGCTAAACCAATCTACTATTCTTCCTATAAACATGTGTCCTAAAATCCATCCCCTCCAAGCTACAGACATCGCAAGATGCGCAAAAAAAATCTTATATTTTGAATTGTGGCTACAATTATGCATCAAATATTTTGAAAATTCACAGGCACTTGTATTTTTGGACGATCTATTCATTTCTTGATTCAAAAATAAGGTAACTCGAGTAACATTTTCTATTTCCTATTTCTATTTCCATTTCCTATTCCATTTTCTATTTCCTCCAAAAAAATTTGAATTCAAACATCATCGTTGAATTGGCCACTCAAAAATCATACATTTCAATCTCTTGCATTTTCTTGAATTAGCTAACCGTTTTAGAGAAAATCGCTAGTAAATGAAAGGGGTGTATTTTCAAATTATTATACTAAAAAAACTTAGTGACCTATGATTATGTTGGTCTCTGGTAACTAATGATTAATCAATATCTTTTATGCCAAACTGACATTGTGGTATCTCATATGGACACAAACGCCATCTAGGTAGAGGGAAAGAAACGTTTTGAAACTAATTTCCATTTCAGATGAATTCAGAAGAAAATGGAAGTGTCCAATAATATAATCATATGAAATGGTTTTTTCTCAGGCAAGAAGGTGCACACAGGCGGCGGCTTCAGCGGCAAGGGCTTCAAGTTCGACGAGTCGGAGGCGGCGGCCGTCAACGAGAAGAAGAAGTTCCAGAAGGCGGCGCTGGGTCTGGCAGACAGCGACGACGAGGATCTCGAGCACGACATCGACCAGCAGATCGAGAGCATGTTCGCGACCAAGCGGACGGTGAAGGAGATCAAGGCGCCGCTGGGTGAGTTCATATCGCATTTCCTTTGACTTTACTTCTCATATCTTTCTGTCTGAGACCTGAAGGTCGAAATTGCACCATTTCAACATATCAATGAATCGAATTTCTCTGCAAGTTATTAGTCGAGAAACGTGAAGTAGTAGTTTTTCTACAAGCTTACGTGATTCACCCTACACCCTACACCCGCACGCAAGGAATGCAGAGGGTAGTTGGCTTCATTCTGATAGGTTATGGTTTTGTTATTTATGCATTGAAATATCTCGTATAGAGCTCGATCCCTAACGAAAATATCATTGAATCATTGAATCACTATCGGCTACATTCAATGGTACTAACTATCCTTCCTAATTTACTGCCATCGGTCAGAATAGAATGAATCCGACACCCATGGCTCCTTCCTTTTGTTGTGCCCTTGAGTGGTGTGGACAGACTCAAAGAATTAGGCGCTGTTGCAAGATATAATCTGCAACTTTCCTAGAAAATCGATCCGTTTTCTCAAGGAACGAATTCATTAGCAAAAAATCGCTGACAAGTTATAAATAACATTGTAATATAACGATAGTGAACAATTATAGATACTATCGCAAAATATCATAATTTATCTTTATTAGTGATCAACTTCATTCAGCCAATGAGATATTTATGGGAATTATTCATAATTCTTTCCATTGTTGTGGATATTTTCGATTCTTATGTTTTTACGACATCTCTCACTTTGAACACGGTGGGCAAAATTGGGCGTTTTCATAGGCTATCTCAGTAATTGAAGGAGTTGTGAAAAAATCGATATACATGTTACGGGTTCGATTTTAGAGAAACCTTGCATGGTACAATTAAAATTTTGATATCTTCATTAGTTTCAGAGATACAGGGGGAAATTGAAAAATTGCCGATTTCGTTTTTATTTTCTGAGTACTTTATGAAGAGAGATATTGAAAAATTTCTAATTTTTATCCATATAGAGTTTTGCGTACAATCCTTTGGCATCATCAGAAATTGTATACAGGGTGACATCAAGAAGATACGGCAGTCAATTTTTTTTTCTAATGGAACACCCCGAATATTTTGGCACAGTTAGATAGTCCTAGGCATTCCATATTCAATTATATATATTACCCTACCATTTTCTTCGACAACTTTAGAGATATTCGCAAAAATATACTGATTGTGTTACATTTCTCATGGTTGCACCTCTGTATCTTCCGTAATAATCATTGAGGTAGGATTACGACATTCGCAGCTGTGAGATAGATGCCAATGATACACTCGAGGATCAAGTGGAATCATCTCCAGTAATAACACTGCTCGCCAGCAGCTATGGAATCAAGGACATCTCTGGAAAAGAGGCAGAATATAGGTTGAAAATGATACTCTGTATATATTAAACAGAGTAGGAAAATAAATATTGAAAATGTGATTCAAATATTTCATTTCTAGACAATGAATATTAGGTATGAAATTAAATTTCAAATTATTTGATTTGATATCATTGTTTATCAATACATTCATACTATTCAAAATACAGAAATAAGACAAATAATTTATTAATTGGGAAATTAGTAGGTAACATGAAAAAATGAAGCTTTATAAAAGATGTTCAAATTGTCCGTTTTGGCCTAACTTCACATCGTTTCCTCAAAGAATTCTTTGCGTTGGTTAGATGAATGGGTCTCACTTCTTGGAATGCTGAAATGTCGTCTTCCACGCAATTCTTCAGCATTTTGATGATCTCGACGATATATATATGATTTTTTAGAAATCCCCACATGAAAAAGTCCAATAGAGACAAGTCGGGTGAACGAGGGGGCCATTGAATCGGTCCATAAAATGAACCATTCCATGTTTGTGGAAATTTTATATTCCGAATATCTGTTACTCTACGGGCATTAGGAATCCTAATATTGTTTTCCACTCTCAAATTTTCCTCAAATATAACGTAGACCAACCTGTATCCTTTGATAAAACAACTTTTGTTGAAGCCAAACCTTCCCTGTTGCCTACTATCATGATGACTTCGAGGATTATGATCAGCCCAGTGGTGTTTTCAATAATATTTATTCTCCTACTTTGGTAAATATATACAGAGTATCATTTTCAACCTATATTCTGCCTCTTCATAACATTTTCCAGAGATGTCGATGATTCCATAGCTGCTGGCGAGCAGTGTTATCACTGGAGATGATCCCACTTGATCCTTGAGTGTATCATTGGCATCTCTCTCACAGCTGCAAATGTCGGAATCCTGCCTCAATGATTATTACGGAAGATACAGAGGTAGAACCATGAGAAATGTGACACATTGAGTATATTTTTGTGAATATTTCTGAAGTTGTCGAATGAAATGGGAAGTTAATATATACAGTGTGTCCACCTTAAGGATTTACCACCCCTGTAAAATTGTTATTATCTGACCGATTTCAAGAAACTCGTTTTTGTTGGATAGGTATTTGAAATGTCCATCCAACAAGAGAGTGATTTTACTAATGAACTATAATCGTGGCCAACTGCGACCAACTTTATTGACCCATATTTGAGAAAGTACTATTAGGGATTTTTTTTAACAAAAAACAATGATGGATTCTGAATCACGATCACTTGAAAAACACCTCCACTGATTTTTATCATCATAAGACACAGGGTGTCCGAAAAAACGAATTATGTTTTTTTTAATAGGTGATCAGAAAATGTAGTATTGTGGTATTTCTGAGAAGAATTGATGACACATTATTATTGAGGATCACTTTGAACATATCTGTACCGATTTTCATCATTCAAAAATACGATGTGTATGAGAATCAATTAAAAAGAAAAAGTAGGCAATATTTTTTCATCAACTCAAAAAACATATTTTCCGAACACCCTGTGTTTAATGATGATGAAAATCGGTACAGGTATGTTCCAAGTGATCCTGATTCATCTTTTTATTTTGAGTGAAGAATTATCAGGATGAATAATATTGCTTACCTTTCCTTTTTAATTTTTTTCTTAGACACATTGTATATTCTAATGACGAAAATTGGTACAGGTATATTTGAAATAATCCTCAATGATAATTTGTGATTATTTCTTTCGAGAAAATCCACAGAACTACATTTGCTGATCACCTATTTGAAGAAAATGATGATTCGTTTTTTCGGACACCCTGTGTTTTATGATGATGAAAATCGGTACAGATATATTTCAAGTGGTACTGATTCACAATATATCATCAAGTTTCGTGGAAAAAAATCCCTAATAGTACTTTCTGGAATATGAGTCATTTAAATTTGTCGCAGTTGGCCACGATAACAGTCCAAGAATTAGATCACTCTCTCGTTGGATGGGCATTTCGAATACCTATCCAACAAAAAAAGGTTTTTTTCAAATTGGTCGGATAATAACGATTTTACAGGGGTGGTAAGTCCTTAAGGTGGACACACTGTATATTTGAAAATGGAATGCCTAGGACTAACCTACTGTGCTAAAATTTACGGGGTGTTCCTTTAGAAAAAAAAATGACTGCCGTATCTTCTTGATGTCACCCTGTATAGAATTTCTGATGATGCCAATGGATTCTACGCATCATTCTATATGGTAAAAAATCTGAAATTTCCCAATATCTCTTCTCATGCAGTACTCAGAAAATAAAAACGAAATCGGCAATTTTACAATTTCCCCTGTATCTCTGAGGCGAATGAAGATATCAAAATTCCAATTGTACCATTCGAGGTATCTCTAAAATCGAACCCGTAACATGTATATCGATTTTTTGATAGCTCCTTCAGTTACTGAGATAGCTTATGATATTGTCAGTTAATAATAATAATAATAATGATAATAATAATAATTGGTCATCCTGATAATCGGCTCCCTAGGAGGCACACGACACACGTTACTCTCGGAGATCCAGAAAATTCCATCGTGCCGTGATACACATCCTGGCTGGTGGTATGCAGAATGCAGAATGCCGTCATACTAGGATCATTGAGTCTACTTAGGGCACACGGTACTTGGCCCCAGTGATTATTCACCTCACAGGCTGTGAGGAGTAGTCACTGGATTTTATCCAGCACGACACTGCGTGACGTCGGAGGCCGCAGGGTCGTGACTGGAATTATATGAACTAAAATAATAATAATAATGGTAATAAAAAGAAAATTAATGTCTAGGTCTGATAAACCCCGCTGCTCTGGGCACCTCCACCACCGCAGTAGACAAACTCGAACTGGCCAAACGGCTCGCCTCCAAGATCAACTTCACCAAAACCGCTGCTCTGGACACGAAATTCGCCACGCAACAGGCGGCCGAGAACATCCTCAAGGGCAGCGGTTCGCAGCCGCCCATCACGGCCAAGACGGTGGCCGAGCAGCTGGCGGCGAAGCTGAACACGAAGCTGAACTACCAGCCGAAGGAGGAGGACGAGCGTGGGGAGGAGGATAGCGAGCAGACGTTCAGGAAGTACGAGGAGGAGCTGGAGATCAACGATTTCCCGCAGCAGGCCAGGTGGCGGGTCACATCGAAGGTTAGTTTGCGTGAAGAATGAGTTACGATAGATAGTATTTTTTTTAAATACTTCATTCTTTATTGAATGAATTACATATCACCAGTATCAAAAATGGTCCCCAATCGGCGTGGGTAACCGGTCTCGGGATTATAGATCAGAAATTGACGTATACAGGTGTAATTTGCAATACAATATTTTAATTAACGTTCATGATGAATACTATTTTCACAGTTCATTGAACAAATTAAATCATATGTTCGTTTCGGGAACGAATCTGCTCCCGTTTTCAACATAAAAATATTTTCCTTCGAAAATTCTGTACAAGTATTCATATTCTCAGTGTCATACCGCCTTTCCTAGTTCCTCAAAGCATTTCAAAAAAGTACACTTCCCGAATAAGATTTTATTTCTGTATTTTTTTAGATTCCATAAATTTTTCGTTTATGGCAATTCATACTTTTTTCTTGAAATTGCCGGAAACAAATCCAACTTCCGTAGCTTCTTCCACTATCTCTGTCTCTGGCGGTGTATTTATCAAAATCGTCACATCTCAGTATACATATACATCATATTATTTATTATGAATTTTTTGAATATTTGATGGAAAATGCGATTTCTATCAAAAGCACTGCGGTTGACCCAGAAAAAAATTATTGAATTGAACCTAAATTCAAACGATAGCTCGAATGCGCGCGAAATATTCATGGCATTTCATTGGACGAATACAAGGTGCGTCACACCGCGTCATACACTTCATCTTGTCACTTGGTCTTGTCACCATTTGTCATTGCATTTGTCACTCAATAAAAACTATAATAGTGATATTCTTTCGTTCTGAACGTACTGAAATATTTCACTTGAACTTGAACTATGAACTAGATTTCGAGGTTGATCTTTTTCTTCTTCAGTTTGTTTTGTAGCCATTTTTCTCTCGAGTCACAGATCACTCAACCACTCTGTGCTAGAGTTCTGTGTCTGTGGTTTTGTGTAACGCATCCTCTGGGTCGTCAGAGGGAGCCTCAAGAAAATACAAGTGACGTCACACCGCGAAAAATGGTCGTTTGGTACTCTCTCGATTTGTAGCACTTTTGAAGTATTAATTAAACGGTTGTAAAGGAATCAATAGATGAGATGAAGTACTATTTGATATACTGAGTCATGTATGAGACCGTTCGCCATATAAGAAGGGCTATTTTCAATCATAGTGAAATTGCCTATTCTTTGATATTATCCGTATCAAGGTTGGAAAAAGTGATGAAACATTAAATGATATTAGGATTCCTTTGACAGTCTTTAATTGAGCCGATACGTTTTTCGTTTTCAGGAAGCCCTGGCCCAGATCTCTGAGTACTCAGAGGCTGGTATCACCGTCAGGGGCACATACGTGCCTACGGGCAAAGCACCGCCAGAGGGCGAGCGGAAGCTGTATTTGGCCATCGAGAGCACCTCCGACATGGCTGTGTCCAAGGCCAAGGCCGAGATCACGAGGCTGATCAAGGAGGAGCTGCTCAAGTTGCAGACGTCAGGGCATCACACCTTCAACAAAGCGAGATATAAAGTTGTGTAGAAGTGTCGGTGTTTCTTTAGCTTTTATAATTATTGTGGTTCAGTTGTGTAACATAATGTGTCAGTCAATGTTTCGGAAATAAAGAGCCATGAAATATTTTTTCTACACAATTTTCACCAGTGAGAGAGTTTTTTTTTTTGGTGTCCTTTGTAATTTTTGATTCAATATTATATTGGTGGTTTAGCAAGACATCCATTCCACTGGTTTGCGAAAAATAGCTACCAGTGAAAGGATGAAGATCAGAAGATGATGCATGTTTTATTCCAACTGAATAATGTATGTGAAACCAAAAAAAATGCAGGGGTGAGTATCAAATGATTGCGTGCTGACTTCTAGAGTCGCTTTGTCTATTGATTATTGTTCCATTCATCTTATTTTCCATGCGTACACTTGGAGGTCAATATCGAAAAACTGTCAATTTTTTGAGGTTAGGTCAATTGGATTTTTTCATCAGTTCATTCCTATCTACAACATTCCAGAAATTCAGCCATTTTCAGAGTTTTTTTTATTTGAAAAAATTACACTTGCAGGTCAATATCGAGAAAACTGTCAATTTTTGGAGGTTAGGTCAATTGCATTTTTTCATAAGTTCATTCCTATCTACAACATGCCAAAAATTCAACCATTTTCAGATAATTTTTTTTACGTCAAATAAATGACATTTGGAGGTCTATATCGGAAAAACTGTCCATTTTTTGAGGTTCGTTCAATGGAATATCTGTTCAGTATGTCAAAGTCTGCAACATACCAAAAATTCAGCGATTTTCATCGAGAGCCATTTTCCCTATAGTTTAGTGCGGGGTCCTTTCGATCGGAAAATATAATAGGCGAAAGAACTCTGAAAAATGTAAAGGAAAGTTCATAGAATAGAATACGTTTTTTATGATTGACAATAATTAATACTCTTAGATATAAAAATGAATGTTTGTATGTCCTTTATAGAATCATAAACGGCTTGACCAATTCCACTGAATCTATTTTTGTTCTGTTTGTTATTGCCAGGAGAAGGTTCCTATGAGAGAAAAACATAAGAAATTCAAGATGGCGGATCCAATATGACGGACGAGTTTAGTAATTATAATCGGATTCCATTCAAAATTGGTATCTCATGGGAGAGTTTTTGGGTCGATGATAATGATTCAAAATTAAAGATGTCGGATCCAATATGTTCAACGAGCTATTATATACGTAATGAATAGTGTTTTGAAAAACTAATTAGTAGTTTGAGAAACTATAAGAAAACACGGTTTTATATGGTTAGTCAAAAACTAAACAGAAGTAGAAAATAAAATAATGAAAGTGTGTTGTTGAATATTCAACTGAAAAAAATATTTTCTAGAAATATATCGTTTGCCAGGCAGCTATAATAAATGAAATGACTCGAAATAATAAATTCAAAACTCAAAACGGTATTCTGTGTGTAATTTTCACTCTATCCAATGTTTCTATTTTTCACCAAGAAAAATTCGAGGAAAGAAGTTGTCTTCAAGAAGTCATGACTCATCCTCTAAAAACACCCTTTATATAACAATATTAGAAATGTAGAAGTTTATCAGAAAAAAATATATATATCATACATTTATGCAGAAAATTTCAATCTTGTTACTTTTACCGTTTAGAAGTTATAGATGAACACAAATTTCAGAGATGATCTAGGATCATGAGCAGCACATTTTCAAATTATTTCGCTTTATACAGGGTGACTCAGAAATGCGTGAAATATCAAGCTTTCATGTCCATATTCCAACTTTCGATTTACTATCTACTGACATTTAATTGGAATAGAAACAAGGGTGATCAGAATGCTGAATCTTGAACCACCATGTATTTGTTCCGATTAAATGTCAGTAGATATAGTTAATCGAAAGTTGGGATAGGGCCAAGAAAGCCGTTTTGACCAATAATACATAGTTTCGACGCAAAAAAATCCCAAAGTTGAAAAATCTCGATTTTGAACACCCCATATCTCTGTATTCATTCTTGCTAGACCCCAAGTGTGATGCATTGATGAAATCAGCTTACAAAGGAGAATGAGAAAATGCAATGAAATACAGGGTGTCCTATAAGAAAAAGTATAACTTTGATGCTCCACGCATTTCTGAGTTACCCTGTATGAAGCAAAATAATTCGGAAATGTGCTGCTTATGATCCTAGATCATCTCTGAAATTTCTGCTCATCTATCTCAAACAGTAAAGCCGTTATTTCACTTTGCCACACTAATGACTCACCCTGTATATGCTGAAAAATTATTTCAATTTTATCAACTTTGGGAGGATATATCTCTCTTAACATACTATACCTCTTTTTCCGCTGTCGTTCTAGATGACAACCTAGTTAGGTAGTTAGTAGGCAAGGGCTATAATACCTCCTCGCGTACTAGGTCGCCTACTAGGTTTTCATTTAGATCGGCAATGATTTTTCAATGCCTAGAAAGCTTTGGTACATTTATATTACTGACCCTCTGTATGAGAACGAAAAATTATCTTCGGAACTTTTTGCTTAGGATAGTATTCTATGAAACTCTAACCTCACAAAGTTGAAAGAACATCCGATACCCACCTCCTATCCACCTCAGTCACGTACGGTGTACCACGATCATATAATTAGGATTTTCTTTCGTGCGATCCAGAAGATAGGAAAAACGAAATATTCTGGCCCAGATTGACTGAACTAATCCATTTTGCTGCATTCTCTGATGAGATCAATAAAATATGTGCTAGGTTTCTGCGGCATGTCAGTAAGCAAATTTTCAGATTCTGACAAGGAAAATGTCAGATTAACCTCAATTCGATCGGTTAGCTGTACGTTATTACGTACAAGACAAATTTCAAGTGACTATTCTCAAATTAAATTATTCCATTTGATGAACGTCCATTCTGGTCCAAATGACGTGAAGCAAAATGTCGCCTGTTCCTATCAATCTACTCAAACACATATGGAAACTGAAGTTTTTAAAATAATATGGCCACAAACTCCGATAACTGTGACGAAACCGTGCCTGAAGATGGATCCAAGCTATGCGATGCAGATGTGCCTGAATGGATATTGGCCAGAGAAGGGATAAAACTCATTATAAATAACAAAATCGATCAAGCTGAGAAATTATTTTCGAAATATCCTGAAAGCATTGTTATGCTTGCTGGGCATTCTTTTGCTATCATGATAGTAAGTACACCTCTTCAAGTGTCCCTCAATTTTTCTAGTCCAACTTTTTTTTCTAACGTAAACAAATCGTACTCCCTTTTTCTACACGCGTGCGTGATTCACCCTATACCCGCACGCAATTTAGTTTGGGAAATATCATTTTCTCGCAATAGTGCCGGAAAAGTTTTCCCACACTAGTGCGGGTAATTTTTTCAAGATTTATGGCCAACGAAGTCATAAGTAAGGCATGAGGAGCACTACACGAGATTCATTGATTGGTGCAATAGTGAAAAAGTGAAAAAACCAAATAAGGAAGAATTATTTTTGGCTAATTTCCTAGAAATGTCTGGAACCTAGAGGCCAAACACCATGGGCATAATAATTGATTGAACAAATCAATCAATTTACTACGCTTTAACTGAAAACGACCCCAACTTTTGATTTTTAAGAGGGACACCTTGTATTGTATTCCATAATCGGTTCGGGATTGTCATAACGAATCCATCCATACCGGGATTAATAGGGTTAAGAAAAATTGTTTCATCAATTATTGAGCAATTTATTGGTATAGTGGTTATACCCACCATTTCTCAAAACCCTATCAAAAAAAAGTTCAAAAGTTACAATCCTGACCGTTTTTTGTGCAGTTCTCTGTATACAAGGAAATGAAGTTGACGATTTTCAAACATCTTCCACAAGTTGAAATAATTCATTGAGAAAATTTAAGAAAAAAACCTAAAAATTATCAATACAGAAACATAATATGGTGGAGAAAACTGTTTTTCATGCGGAAAATTCAAATAGTCATAACAAAAGGGAAAGCTGGAAAGTGGAAAGTTAGACAAATTCTACACAGAAGAAAAGGGGAAGTATTGAAAAGGAATATTCTCAGATATAATTAGGAACATAAAAAAATAGATTATTATACAATATATAATGAAATACATTGAGAATTCGCATTCTCTACTTTCCTGACTATATGTCACGACGAACATTGAATTACATCTATTGAACATGCACGATAAGAATAATTTGAAAACAAAGTTTTGTGAAGTAGAGAATTTGCCTTCTCCCTCATATATAAAGATATGGACATAATATCATTCTGAATATTCAACAGAAAACAACTAATTTCCTGGCTATTTGCCACGTCGAACATTAAATTATATCTGTACAACATCCAAAAAGAGAGCATGACAAATGAAAATCCTCTGAAATATTGAAAAGCCTCTGAAATTGAGAATTGACATCATATAAAAATAACTTATCAATATGTTCAGTAATGAAATGAAAATTGAAATGTACAAGGTGGGCCAAAAGAAGTCATCCGATGTTATTTGGCTCTCATTTTTTTTCTAAATGAAAAGCTACGATTCTGTTTTTTGATTATGTTTATTTGAACCTTTAGAATTTTATTGGTCAAGTCGAGAAGATGATATCGGCCTCATGGGCGCCGCCACAATTGATTGCTATACGGGCTCGTTTTATGGCATTTTTCTTCGGCGAGATCTTCGGGCAACATATTCTGGCACTCGTGCGTCGAATGTTGTCCTTGAGGGCTTCCAGGGTCTCAGGCTTGTTCACGTAAACACAAGACTTCAAAAAACCCCACAAAAAAAGTCTGAAACCGTTAAATCGGGCGATCTTGCGGGCCAGAGCAAATCGCCAAAACGAGAGATGAGGCGATCTCGGAACGCGGCCTTCAGAATATCGGTTGTGGCTCGCGCAGTGCGTGCCGTTGCTTCGTCCTGTTGGAACCACAATGTCCTCCAGTCCTAATTCGTTCAATTGCGGCAGAAAAAACTCGGTAAAAATGGCCCTATAGCGCGCACCGTCCACTGTTGTCGTTCGACCTCGAAAAAAATGGCCCGATGACTCCTCCAGAGTAAACAGCGCACCATGCAGTCACTTTCAGCGGGTGTAATGGCTCCTCGTGCATCACTCGTGGATTTTCAGTGCCCCAGAACCGATAGTTCTGCTTGTTCACGTACCCGCTGAGGTGGAAATGAGTCTTGTCGCTCATTGTGATTTTGGTCGAAAAATCGTTCACGAGATTGAGGATGGCTTGGCTTGGATTATTCCGCTTTCTTGGGGAGTGTATCGCTCCATGGCTTGTTCACTTGTATTCTACATCTGTCTAGTTCACAAATGTCGAAACATATCTGACATTGGCCGCCATTTGCAAAAATATGAGCATCTTTCAATAGGGTGATTTGTTTTGGCCCACCTAGTACATGAGAAGTATACTTGTATGAACTCTGATCTTGATGAGCTTGGAACTTCCAAAAAAATCATTCGTATCAGTGATATGGGAATTATATCTCTCACAAACAGGTTATATGACTTCACTTGAATAAACTCATTTCGGATATCAAATCCTCATCAGTAACCTGAAGTCCAGTTGTTCTTTCAGCCATTCTTCATGATATACACAATTTTCCATCTCCCCATAATTTACTAAAACTATAACGAACTGACATCTGAGAATTATTATGATATGATGACATACTATCATATCATCTGGGCATTTGTTTTTGGATGAATGATGAATTAATATTCATCATTCAGGACGTGGAAGGAAATTCTGAATTGAGAAAACCTAATGTATGATGAATATCAAGTTATCATACATCCAAAATAGAAGGGAAAGAATATGTTCATGTGAAAAACTGGAATCGTCATATCTAGATTATCTAGCGAACTGATAGTGCGATTTCCGCCTGGTTTGTTCCCTTTTTGACCCTTCCAGGACGCCCTCATGAGTTACGAAGAGGAAAAACTTTCCGTGGCCCTTCTGTCTCTCAGAGAAATCGAAAGGAGATGCGTCACAGAGAGCGGATGGTTGAAGCAAGTTTCCCAAAAATTGTTCGGCAATACCAGCGAGATGAAGCCCGTTCAATCGCTGGCAGACCAGCTGGAAATGCAAATCATTTTGGCGGACTCTCAGGTTTGCATAGCCATCTTGATTTTTCTGAGGCAGGACATATCTGGATATTTCAAGAGCGGATGGGTGCTGAGAAAAGCGTGGAAAGTTTATCAGAAAGTGTACAAAGAAATATCGAATTTGTACGAGAAAAATGTTGGGAACTTGAATTTGCCAGGTAAGAACATATACATATAATTATTATGATTCTGTTTGTACACTTAGCAGAAAATACCCACATAACAGCAGGCACATATATCCAATGTCCACTTCTGATCGGGATATCCCTGGATTTGAATTGGACATTCATAAATGAAGTGTCCATGGAGGATCTGTAATGGATATAATCCAGAATAGATTTCATGGCTAGTCATCACAAATGATTCATATAAAAATAACAAAATTAATCAGCCCATTGTAACTCAAAGTGAAGTGGTGTAGTTCATAGATGAAAACCCAGTCATGTCCACAAATAATGTTGTTAGAACGATCAAAGATCAATCGTAAAAGGAACACGTTTCGGGGGCTTATACAGGGTGATTCACATAAGAAACGACATAGCCCAGACAGCACTGGATATTCATAGAATATTCTCTAAATATGCTAAAAAGGAGGAGTATATTCCGAATATTCATCGATTATTCCTAGAATATATACATGCCTCTAACATCTAAAAGGAATATTCCAAAGTGAATAATCGGACATGTTCAGGGAATATTCAGGTATGAATCTTCCAGGAATATTCCCAACTGAATATTCTCTGTTGTATATTCATGAAATATACCCAACTGAATATTCTGTGCGGTATATTCATGAAATATACCCAACTGAATATTCTGTGCGGTATATTCATGAAATATTCTCAACTGAATATTCTGTGGTGTATATTCATGAAATATTCCATGAATATTCCTATGTTCCTCAACACATGAATAACATTTATTATTTCAGAGATGTGAGTATCGAACATCAATTAGATGTAAGGGGATTTTGAAACAAAAAGTGTTTATGATCCGATTTCGAACAATGCTCTCACAAGAACTTGATATGTATATCATTATTCAATTCGGTTACTGGCCTAGTGGTCAAGGCGTTGCTCTGATAGTCTTGAGGTCACGAGTTCGATCCCAACTTGGGTCCCTTTTTTTAATTTTAGAATATGTTTATTGGAATATTCCAGGAACATTCAACATAGAATATTCTTTTGGGTATATTCCATGATTATCTGAGGAATTCCCATTCGCATATTTAGAGAATATTCCACAGATATTCCGGAATATTCCAGATTATTTCTAGAATATTCCAATATTCCAAAAGGAATATGATAGGGAGATTCATGGAATATCTGGTGCTGTCTGGGAGGGCAGGGGCATGTAGGGGGTCCCAAAATATGGCAATTTAACGCAACTTACCTCTATACCAAGTTGCTTCCCTAAAGAGATATAGGCTTTGAAAGTGAAGTTATAAATTTTGAAAAAAATCAATATCTTTGTTATCCTTGAACTTAAATCAACCGAATTTGGTACACTTTGTGGATGTTTTTTGGGGCGTTCCTTGACAGTAACTAGAGTTCAATTGAAATTTGTAAAGGGGGTATACCGGGTGGTGCACCATTAATATTCAACATAATTTTGTTAACCCTTGATGTATTTCAAAATTCTTCGCTTTGTTTTGTGGGCAAAAACTTAACTTACTCTAGTAATTTTTAGAAAAACCTCATCATTTTCATCAAAAACTCGAATAACTGAAAACGCGCGCTCAAGGTGTGTTATTTAAAATCATCGAAAATTCAAAAGTTGGCTATGAAAATGAACGTCAAACTTGACAATGAGGTAAGTGAGTTGTTCAATTAAGTAATTGTTGTTTGAGTGTTTTTAAAGTGTTAAATTGCCATATTTTGGGACCCCCTACATGTCCCTATGTCGGTTGTTATTTGAATCACCCTGTATATTGGTAAAGACGAGAAGAAGACACTTTCTGATGATAATTAGGTATTCCCCCCAAGGGCCACTATTCGTGGTAGGAGTATGTACACTTCCTCATGACTCACCCTGTATACGACAGGAAAATTTTATATATTAGATTTGACAAAAGGAAGAAGACAGTTAAATAAGACTCACACTCAAGAAGAAATATTTTTTTTACTCTCAATTGAAAATGATTCTTAATTGACTCAGCTGTTAGGTACCCAATGAAAAACTATAGTAATTGTACGAGAAAACTATAAAAATTAGATGACATGTCAATATCACAGGAGCATGATAATATGTTTTTTCCACTCTCGCATTTGCTGGTACACCTATTTTATTTATTATTTATTCATTTATTGAACAAATAACTTCCAGACAGAATAGGCAAGATGATGTCTTGTTTCATGATTATGAATTTCAGAATTCCGTATCAACATGAAATTCGACTTCAATTTTTTATTTATGATATTATATGATATTTTAAGAGTTTCAATTCTATATATTTCATCTAAAGAATACGTATTTGTTATTTCAAACAATTGATTGGTTGGTGTATCAAATGGGAGACGATACAATACTTTTAACGATTTTCTATATAATGTTGATATTTTATTGAAATTGTTTTTTGAACAAGTTCCCCAAACATTTATTAAATAGTTGATAGGACTCATTATATGAGAGTAGAGAATCATGTTTGCAATTTTAATATCAAGTTTGGGACATCTTCTCAATGCACCAATAATTGGAGATATTTGTTTTGTCAGAACATCAATATGTTTGTCCCACTTCAACCTGTCATCAAACCAAATTCCAAGATATTTTATCTGGTCAGTTTGTTTTAAGAGTTCATTTTTCATTTTAAGGTTGGGGTAAATTTTTCGTTTATTTTTTTGGTAAAAAATCATATATTCTGTTTTGTTAGTATTTATCGATAAAAGGTTAGAGTGGAGCCTTTTTTCAAATATTTTCAAGTCTTCATTTATCATATTTTCTAAATTTGAAGGATTCTTGCCTTCATATAAAAAGTACTGTATCATCTGCATACATGGTATATTTACTCGTGAGACCAATTCCACTGATATTTTGAACATAAAGTAAATATAGTATAGGTCCTAAAACAGAGCCCTGTGGGACACCCTTATTGATCAATAGTTAATTTGACACATTGGTTGATTTCGTATTGATTGTCCTATTTTCAAGATATGAATTCAAAATATTTCTCACAGTGCCTCTGAGTCCCATTGTTCCAAATTCATTGTATTTTTTGTTGCAGATACAGATCAAGCTTTCATGTCGTCAAACTCCTTGCGGGAAATGCAATGTTCCTCGGTACCGGATTGGGAAGTCCCGGAATCCTTCTCCAATGGGTACACCAAACTACTTCCCAATTCCAAATCCGACCAATTCCGTTGTCCGTCCAATAACAATCGAACTGTCGACACCTCCAAGAACTCAGATCTCGGTTTTCCAACCAAAAAATATAGTTTAACAAGTTTCAGTTTTCTGAAGAAGTCCATGTCTGTTAATAGTGCTTTGTCCAATCATACGAGAGAGGGTTCTTGGAGGGACAGTGGTCCTTTTTCCTCATTCATTCCTTTTTCTCTTCTATCGAAGGATAACATGTGAGTGAATATTTACATCAATATATATATATATACAAAAATATATTCTTGGTTGCATAGTAAACGCATCTTGTGACTCTCAATCATAATTACCTGCTAATTTATTTTATTCATTTATCAAACATATCTTCCAGTCAGACCAAGTTCTGTTATGAGAAAGAACATAATTATAAAATAATGAGTAATAAATATCTATGAACTACTACAAAACATCAGTAGAAGTGAACATGAATAATGAATCATATAATAAATCAGGATATCTCAAGCCACCGAAGATCTACTGGAGATCTACTTGCCTACGTCACCCATTTATGGCAATCTTCAATAGAAAAACACGGGGAATCTCTAGCTGTCGCGTTGGACATATCGAAAGCATTCGACCGTGTTTGGCACGAAGGACTCCTCCACAAACTACCATCATACGGCTTACCACCTCAGCTATGCCATCTCTTATCGAGTTTTCTTTCAGGCAGATCGCTTCACGTGGTGGTGGACGGTGTATCGTCTGATACCATTGGCATCAATTCCGGCGTTCCACAAGGATCAATTTTGGCACCAACATTATTCCTGCTTCATATCAATGATCTGTTGGGAGTAACAACTTGCCCCATCCACAGCTTTGCAGATGATAGTACCCTCCATACTGCGTTCTCTTCCAGAATTCCCATTTCTTCCCAGGAAACTAAGAACTCACGGCGCAGGCAGGTCAATGCTGTCAATGAAGATCTCGCTGAAATCACAGCCTGGGGAACGAACAACCTACTTGAATTCAACGCCACCAAAACTCAAGCCTGCATTTTCTCTAGAAAGGCGGAACTCAGTATGCCCGATATTGTAATGTCTGGCTCCACCATCCCCACCAAGCCCACTATATCTATGCTCGGTATTTCCATCAGCAACACTCTTTCATGGGATAATCATGTCAGATCCATCGCAAAAGCTGCTTCCCAAAAACTCGGATTCTTGTTCCGTGCGAAAAGCTACTTTACACCTCAACAGCTTCTCATGATCTACAAAGCGCAGATACGGCCTGTTCTAGAATACTGTTCCCACATATGGGGTTCAGCACCAAAACATACGCTGATGCTCTTAGATTCCATCCAGAGAAGAGTCATTCGCCTGGTGGGTGACGCCACACTCACTCACTCTTTGACATCATTGGAACACCGTAGAAAGGTCGGCGACCTTTCACTTCTCTATCGATACTTCCACGGGAAATGTTCTTCGGAAATCTCTGCAATCATCCCTTCACTAGCAATACCAATCAGACGAACTAGACAAGCCCAGTCAGCACATCCTTTCGTTGTCAACCTCGAAAGATGTCGAACAGCACTTTATCAAGACTCCTTCATCCATAGAACGGCTAGGCTCTGGAATTCATTGCCTGTGGAAGTGTTCCCAACAACATATTATATAATCTCCAAAAGTTCAAAAAAAATTCCAATACCTACCTCATGTCCCTATCCTCCCTAGGAACGCACGATGTTCTTTGAACATTATAGGGATTCCCTCTCGTGCGCTCCAAGCGATAAAAAAAAAAAAAAATCAGGATATCTCAAAAATCACAATAAATCACAATAACCTGACGAATTTTAAACATTTCTTCCAGAAATGATCAGTTTTTTCACATTCTCTAATCTGTACAGTTCCTCTAAAGAATATGTTTTTGTTAAAGCATACAGTTCAGTTGTTGTTGTATATATGGAAGACAGTATACAGTACTGTTGGATAGTTTACTTTACATCCTGTATATCAGTTTACCCTGTATACAGAATATGTTGTTAACGAGGAGTTGAATCAATAATTCAGTTGTTAATTTTCGATTAATATAATAATCGTTAAAAACATAGTCTTTATTTTAGACATTTTAAGCTACAGTTTTATAAGCCAACCTTTAAGCCAATATCAGTCATTACATTTGGTCAAGAATAGCAGTAATTCAGATCATTCAATGAAGGATATTCCATATGCTGGAATGATTAATGCAAATCAAGTAAATGAGAATGCAATTAATTTAAATAAATATATTTCTCGTCAATCGATTCCGTGGAATCTCCCGGTTTTCGCAGGCGATCCTATGGAATGGCCTAGTTTTATTAGTCAATTCAGAGAAACATCAGAGTTATGTAATTTTTCCAATAGAGAAAATCTGTGTCGCTTGCAGAAAAGTTTAAGGGGAAAAGCTAGAGAATCAGTTCAATATTTATTAAACTTTCCTGAGCAGCTAGAAAAGGTGATTTCCATACTAGAAAGAAGATTTGGAAGGTCAGACTACATAATCGAAGAGATAATTCACAAAATCCGAAAAATTCACTACATCAAGGAATTTCAGTTCGAGGCCTTGATTGATTTTACAAACCAAGTTATGAATCTTGTTGCCACTGTTGAAAATTTGAATGCTTATGGTCATTTGCAAAATCCTCAAATTTTAAAGGAACTTGTGAATAAATTACCTGCACACATGCAATTACAATGGGGAACAAAAATCAGTGAGACTCACATGCAAGCTGATTTGAAAGAATTTGCATTTTGGCTGGAAAAAATTGCAGATAGCGCAAGTTATGTATCAAAACCTATATCATATGAGAAAAAGAAGACTTTTCACGTTTATGGGGAAACCAGTTTAGCCACGACGGTGGAAAAACGTACTTTAGAATGCATATTTTGTGAAAGAAAATCGTCAAATCATAACATAGTGAAATGCAAAAAATTTGAAAATCTAACTGCTGCAAGAAGATGGGATTGGGCAAAAGAAAAGAAGATTTGTTTTTGTTGTTTGAGAAATAATCACCAAATAAAATACTGTAAATTCAAGAAAGTATGTAATAGAGACGGATGCCTGAAATATCATCATCCATTATTACATAACATTCAAAGTGGAGATGATGATTCTACTGAAAATGCAAGAGAAATAGTAACAGCAGCATCACAGGGAGAAGAAACAACAGTTGAACCAAATTTCAATGCTACAATTCAATCCTTCAATCACTGCAAAGTTATGTTGAGAGTTGCACCAGTTATTTTAGAGGCACCTTCAGGACAGAAGATGGAAATATATGCACTTTTCGATGAGGCTTCCACAGTCACATTATTAGATGAAGACATAGCAAGACAGTTGAAGTTGAATGGAGAGAAAAAACCACTATGCCTACAATGGACTAACAATCTATCCAACTACCTAGATAGATCCGAAATTGTTAGTCTCAAAATATCAGGAATAATGAAAGACAGCAAAACCTTCATAATGAATAACGTAAGAACTGTTCAAGATTTATCTTTACCAACACAAAACATCGACATTAATGAATGTTATATTATGGTCATAATATAATAAACACGAGCACAAATGACATGGACAAGGGTTACACTTGTTCACCACTCGGCTGCCATCAGCCGAATACTATATGAACCAGTCTTTACACACGTCTGTCATAGGCTCTGATCTAACCACATTCAACTGAGCAGTGGCGCATCTAGTTGCTAGATGCTAACACGGCCATCCTGAGATTGGGACGCTCTCGGCCCAATAAGCTCGGTTTCATCCTGACTAAATTTTATGTCATTTAGAGCTCGTCAGAGAGCACAATTGTTAACCCACCTTGCCATTAGGCCTAGGTGTCAACCCACTTTTACCAGGTCGAGATGTCGACCCACCTTGTCATTAGGCCTAGGTGTCAACTCACCTTGCCACTAGGCCTAAGTGTCAACCCACCTTGTCATACGGCCCAGGTGTAAACCCACCTTGCCATACGGCCCAGGTGTAAACCCACCTTGCCATACGGCCCAGGTGTAAACCCACCTTGCCATACGGCCCAGGTGTAAACCCACCTTGCCATACGGCCCAGGTGTAAACCCACCTTGCCATACGGCCCAGGTGTAAACCCACCTTGCCATACGGCCCAGGTGTAAACCCAAGACACGTCGAACAAACGTCCACCAAAACTCGTTTGTCCATAGAATGCCGAAGCTGATGTCGCCGATGATGAAATTACCCCTGAACGGACTAACATGTTATAGTTGATTCTTGATATGTGATGACATCGGCGCTCTTCCGACTCTCGTCGCTCGACAGACTCCAAGTAGTAGCAGCTCATGATTTTTTTGATATACCTATATGATTTCAAATTTGTAAGCGACGTATTCGACAGCTCAAAGGTTTGTGAGTCAACCGTGTCTCCAAAAGAACAGTTATATGGCAGCTCAGAGGTTTTTTTTTTTATCAAACGTGTCTTCAAATATGTTAACGATATATTTGACAGCTCAGAGGTTTGTAAGTCAAACGTGTCTCCAATCAACTTTAGCTTCAACTTCACCTTGATAGTATACTCAATCATGAATCACAACAAATTCATTCCAGAAATGCATATCAATTAACCATGATAGATGGAATTCCTTCAGCCAAAAAGCCCAGGTTATCAAAAACCAGAAAGCTCAAACTGAAACCAACCTCCATCAGTCAGAAAGACCAAATTTTCAAAAACCAGAAAGCCCAAACTGATCCTTATCAGTCAGAAAGGCCAAACTGATCCTTATCAGTCAGAAAGCCCAAACTAAAATCAACCTTTTTAATTTTGGTTTTTATTATTATATATACTGAAAAAAAAAAGGCTCATAAACAATATAAACACACCAACTCAATGGAGGATTCATTATGCAAAGAACAATCATCATCATGCTACAATAACTATATTTCTAAAGTTGAAAACGGAATTATCTCTGATCCCAAATTATTCTGGAATTATATTCGCTCCAAAAATCAGGAGGATGGTATTCCCAATAAGATATTCTTCAATGATGAGGTTGCAACTGAAGGCAATTCAATTGTAAATCTTTTTGCTAAACATTTCTCTTCAGTATACTCCAGTGACAATACCTCTATAGATCCTAGTGAATTTGATTCCATCAGCATTAATAAAATATTTATAAATATTTCTGACATTCTAGAAAAACTTCAGAGCATTGATTGCTTATTTAAAGGGGCTGGCCCTGATACTATACAA